AGAATGGGGACTGCTGCGTCATCGCTGATGTGGCGTTGTTGTACGCGAACTCAATCAGCGGTAGCTGCTGCTCCCAAGTTGTCGGGTCGTCGCACGTGGCACGAATCAACTGCTCCATCGTCTGATTCGTCCGCTCCGTTTGACCGTCGGTCTCGGGGTGGTACGACGAGCTGAACTGTAGCCTGGTCCCGAACTGCTCCCAGAGGTTCTTCCAGAAATTGCTGGTGAACTTCGTGTCGCGGTCGCTGATTATCGCGGCTGGTATCCCGTGTAGTCGAACGACGGTTGCGATGAACAGGCGAGCGGTTTCTTCGGCTGAGATCGATTTCTTGCACGCAGCGAAGTGAGCCATTTTCGTCAACCTGTCAACGACGACCATAACCGCGTCGTTACCCCCAGGGTTCGAAGGTAACCCTGTGACGAAATCCATGGTAACCTGCTGCCAGGCGCGCTCAGGCGGTGGAATCGGCTGCAACTGACCCGCCTTTCTCTTTCGCGAGCTCTTCATCACCTGACACGTAGGACACGAGCCCACGTGGTGTTGTACGTCGGTCAACAGCTCCGGCCAGTAGTTATACCGCTGCAATTGCTATCGCGTTTTTTCTACCCCAAAATGTCCCGAGGTAATCGCGTCGTGTGCCTCCTGCAGTAACAGTTCCCTCAGTAGTGAGTACGCGGGTACCCAAATGCGGTTGGTGCCTGTTTTTACGTAATAGGCTCCTTTTGCTTCAGCCAGTTGCTGTGAATTTCCAGTCGTGAAAAATGGGTCGGTACTGTATCCGTGGGTGAATAGGCCAGTTAGCAGTGGGTTGGTTTGGGCGAGTAGGATGGCGTGGAGTTGGGCGGTGGGGCGTGTGAGTGCGTCGGCGATGTTGGATGCACCTTTTTTGTACGTGACGGTGTAGTGGAAGTTGGACTCCAAATAGTCCAACCAGCGAATCTGTCGCGGGTTGAGATTCGGTTGGGCGCGAAGGTACTGTAGCGATCGGTGGTCTGTCCGTACTGTCACGTCTGCTCCCGTGAGTTAACATCGCCACACCTTGAACGCGTGCACGATTGCCAGCATCTCGCGGTCGTGTATCGGGTAGTTGCGTTCGGGCGGGTGAAGCTTGCGGGACTCGTACGCGATTGGCTGGAGGCCGTTCCCGAAATCCTGCAACAGTACTGCTCCCACGGCGATGTCGCTAGCATCGGTGACGAGCTCGAACGGACGGTGCGGATCTGCAATGTGAAGTACGGGCGGCGAGCACAAAATTTCTTTGAGGGCCGAGAAGGCAGCTTGCTCTTTCTCCCCCCACGTGTACACAACCCCCTTCCTCAGCAGGTCGGTCAACGGGGCGGTCAACTTCGCCATGTCGGGGACGAACCGGCGCACGTAGTTGACGAACCCCAGAAAACTCTGCAACTCAGTCAAGTTTGTCGGCGCGTGCCATGCTTGAATCGTCGCGATTTTCTTCGGGTCTATTTCCACTCTTTCAGCTGAAATAATGTGTCCCAAAAACTCTAGGCGGTCCTGTAAAAACTCACACTTAGAAGCTTTGGTCAGTAGGCGGTTCTCACTCAGTATTTTAAAAACTGCTTTGATGTCCTGTAAGTGCTGTGCGCGGTCGGGGCTGTAAATCAGTATGTCGTCGAGGTACACGATGACGCACTTATCTAAAAGCGGGCGGAAAGCTTCGTTCATTGTCATTTGAAAAGTGGCAGGGGCGTTGGTCAGTCCGAAGGGCATGACGGTGTATTCGAAGGATCCGTAGCGTGTTCGGAAAGTTGTCTTGGGGCAGTCGGGTGGGTTGACGCGAATCTGGTGGTAACCTCCTCTAAGGTCGATTTTCGAGAAAACCCGGGCTGTGCGCAGTTGGTCGATCAGTTCGTCAGCTCGTGGGATGGGGTAACGGGACTTAATGGTAACCCTGTTCAGTGCTCTGTAATCTATGCACATGCGAAAACTCCCGTCCTTTTTCGGCGTGAACAGTATCGGTGCTGCGAAGGGCGACGAACTCGGACGAATGAACTCTTTCTCGAGCAGGTAATCCAGCTGCTTCCTCAGTTCGTCCAGTTCGGGTTGGGTCAGTCGGAACTGTCGCTGTACTGTCGGCTGTGCTCCCGGTTCTAGTTCTATCTTGTGGTCGTGCGGTCGCTGAGGTGGCAGTCCCGTCGGCAGATCGTCCGGAAATATGTCACTGTACTGCTTCAGGAGTGCTGCCAGGTCATCCGGTACGTCGGCGAGCAGTTTCTGTAAATCCCCCCCTTTGTCTGCTGACTCGGCTTCCCGAATGTCGACCGCGTACACGTCAGCTCCTGCCGCTACGGCGCGCTTCATTGTGATCGCGTTGACACGCACCGACGAAGACTCAGGCGAGCCCCAGCGAGGTAAAGCGATGTTGTTACCGTTCACTCGCACGGTGCAGTCACCCGTCATCCAGTCGATTCGCAGGTTGTGTCGTCGCAGCCAATCACGACCGAGTAAAATGTCGGTTCCGTCAAGGGTTGTCGCGAGCATTTCCTGGCTAAACGTGAAGTTACCCCCGCATCGAATCCGAACCCGGTCTACGCGTTCCCGTATCGCCAGTGGTGTGCCGTCAACCAGTCTTGCATCGATCTCAGGTAAGCATCTGTCCAGTGGCAGTTTCAGTTTCCGTGCTGTGGCAGTGTTGATGAGGCTGTGGCTGGCTCCCCCGTCTACGAAGATTTTAACTAAGTCTGTCCCGATTTTCACACTAAGCAGTATGGGGCTGTCTACCGAAGTACCCTCCTTATTCGGCCGGGTGTGATCGATTGCGTGAACCGGCACAATCACTCGGTGAGGGTCGGTTGGGTCGGGCGAGCGGCGTGACCTGTCAGTAGAGGGCCCGTCTGCTACTGACTCCCAACGTTTCCCTGCTGCTTGGTCTGTCTCTGCTGCTCAGCTTCCCCCTTTCCCTTAGCGTTTTCCGGGCATTCGCTCTTACGGTGTCCCGGCCGATTGCACGCGAAGCAGCGCCCTTTGAACGGTGCGGCAGCGGCATTCGCGGCGACGGCACGTATCGTAGCGCCCTCGTTCGTCCCACGAGACCGATGTCCCAAGTTGCTGCTTCCGTAGGACCCCGGTCTCGGTCGGCGGAAGAAATCGAGCTTCTCCGCCATGGCGAGAATCTCCTGGAAATCGGTGACGCCGCGAAGCTGGATTTCCTGAGCGATGTTGTGCTTCAGGCCGCCGATGTAGCGGTCGATGCGCTCGCTCTCGTGCATATAACCCACTTGCTCGCATAGCGCCAGAAACCCGCTCGTGTAGTCCTGGACGGAACCGAGTTGGCGCCAAGTGCGGAGCTTCTGTCGCGCCGCGATCGAAGCCGCGATTGGCTCAAACCGAGCGCGCAGACCTGCGCACCACGCGTCCCACGTGCGATATTGGGGCACCTCCACGAAATACGACGGCGCCCAGGGTCCGGTTTGTCCTTCCCGTGTCGGTAGAGTCGCGTAGTCCACCGGCTTCGTGACGATGACACGCCACCAGTCCATGGCGGGTCCTCGCAGCAACGACACGGCGTAGCGGATTTTCGCCGTATCCTCCGAGACGTAGTTGGCGTCGAAGAAAACGTTCAATGTGAACAACCACGCCTGAACGGTAGGACCACCCCGTTGACTCGGGTCAAAGCATGGCGGACGCTGCGGCTTCAGCGGCATCGGCGATGGTAGTGCTGAGTCGCCAGCCGGCACAGAAATCGTGACGCGAGGTTGACTTCTGACCGCATTCGTCGCTTCGGGGTGTGTCGTGTCGTGGTCGTCGTCTCCGTCGTGGCGGACGACGCCATCACTGGCCGCGCTCGCGGGTTGCCCCACACTCCCATGTTGCGATGTCTGTGGTGCGGGCTGTATCGGAGTGCCAGGTGCTTGAGATTGTGCTCGTGCGACGTCATTTTGCAGGGACGTGCGTTCTGCCGTCAGCGCCGCGATTTCTTCAGAGCTTTCACGAAGTTGCTGCAGCAGTTCGTTCAGACGGTCCTGCGTGAGGGTGGTGACGTCGATATGTTCGGCCATTCCGAAGGGCGTCGGCTCGTCTTAGCTCTAGGCGCAGTCGTGGCTGCACGCGTTTACGAGAGAACGCGGGGACAGCGGCTCCTAGGGGCTAAGGTGCGTCAGTCCCTTCGAGTGAAAAATCAAAAGTTGATTTCCTGGGGTGCGGAGAATGCGCGGTCCGAAAGAAAGAGGCTCTAATAACCAAGTGTTACGGGTGCAATGAATCGAGGTAGCGAGGATTGCACTAAGGTGTCAAACAAGTACAAGATGTGAGCGAAGGCATGAGCGAACATTTATACGCGAAACATGCAAACGGTAACGCGGCGCGTGCGAGCTAGCTAATGCTGCGCTGGCGCGAGGTTCGGGCTAGTCCCGAAGCGTAGGCCGACTCGGCTGCTCCAGCAGTGCGAGGTTTGGTGAAAACAGTGCGCGCGAAGTTGGCGAAGCCCCGTTAGCAGTAACGGACGAACAACGGCTGTTGCTGTACGCGATGTTGCGGGCTGCGCTAAGGAATGTCGAGAAAATTCCTTACAGTTGCTCAAAACTGTCACACGGTATCATGTGCAAGAGATATAGCACTTTCTTGCACTTTATTTTTTATTTGAAGTACTGAAAGAATGCTAAGCACACCGCCAGCACATTCTGGGTGGGTACCCAACAAACAAGCTCAGGATGTGAAGGAAAAAATGCAAAGAACGTTCTAAGAGAGAAAAAGGCAAAACCAAAAAGCGTAAACAAATCTGTGTTCCCACAAGGCATGGGTGCTGGTTGCACAGCAGTCAGTCATCCACGACAGACATTTGCCAGCAGAGCCTTCACAGTATCGGGTGCATCTTCAATGTCGCCAAGGAGAGAGGGTTTTCATCTGTACCAGCCTCCATGCAATTGTTGATATGCAACTTGTTTCAATTCCATGACTCAGAAGCATGACTGCTGTGAAGGGTGAGGTGAGGCGCCAGCGGAAAGGGCAGGAGTCGACTGCGGTGAAGCATGACGGCCAGAGCTCAAGCACAGGTGCTGCTTGGACGGAGAAAAAGGGGGTGAGAGGCAGAAAAAAAGGGAGAGAGGCGAGCAAGGAGACATTCTTCAATTCAGCAATTGAGTTTTGTTACCCAGAGTTCAAGTGTGGGTAACGCGTGGAGGAAACAGACAGCGAACAATGAAAAGGGGGAAGGATGCAAGCGAGCAAGGTGACTAAGGAACAGACAGCCCAATACTCATACTGCATGGATGAAGAGAAAGCAAGATGGGTGGGGTGGGGAGAGAGAATTGAAGGTGGGGAGGGAGGGAGGAAGGTAAGAGAGGGCATGGGGGTAGGGAGGGAGGAGGATAGGAGGGAATGGGAGGAACAGAAGCCACGTGAGGGGAAGGCGGAAAAGAGCACGGGATAGAAGCAAAAGAAACCTATTTGATTTACTCAATTATCTCTCTCTTCCCACTCGTTCTCTTCCATTTCCCCCTCGCACTCCCTACAACACACACTCTCTCACCTGGCTGTGCATTGGCTTCCCACCCGCCACCCACTCTTGGGCACCACCGACCCAGCCAACCTGCTCCCACTGCTCCACAGCACTCCCACCCCGTCTCTTCACTCCGAACCCCTTCATCGCTCTTTACCCATCTGTACTCCTCTCTCACCTGGCTGTGCATTGGCTGCCCACCCGCCATCCACTCTTGGGCACCACCGACCCAGCCGGTTTACTCCCACTGCAAAACGTCACCACGCCCGTAAACTTTGGGCTGCCCGGAGCCTTCTGAAGGTACAGCGAGCCGCCGTTGGCAGTGCTGCCCGAGTTGCCCGAAAAGGACGAGGAGCAGAAGCTGAGAGATGACTGGGTGAGCAGCCCTGAGACGGCGTAGAGAGCACCGCCGAGGCCCGAGGAGAATGAGCCGGCAAGGGAGGTGCCGAGGGCCTTGTTGGTCTTGAAGGTGACTCGCGCGAGCGCAAGGGTCGCGCCGTATGAGAAGATGGCTCCCCCAGATGCACCTGGATGGGTGGAGGGGAGGGTCGGGAGGGGGTGGGGAGAAGGGGGTGGGGAGGAGGGGAGAGAGATAGAGAGGGATGGGGAAGGATGGAGAGAGTCAAATTCCCAACCAAGACTGAGAAAGAGGGTCTGAGGGGGAGAGAGAGACGGCGTAGAGAGCACAGCTGAGTCCGGAGGAGAATGAGCCAGCAAGGGAGGTGCCGAGGGCCTTGTTGGTCTTGAAGGTGACTCGAGCGAGCGCAAGGGACGCGCCGTACGAGAAGATGGCTCCCCCAGATGCACCTGGATGGGGAGGGTGGGAATGCGGTTGTGAGAGGGGGGTGGGAAGGAATGGAGAGGGATGGGGAGGTATGGAGATAGACGGAGAGGGATGGAAAGGGATGGAGTTGGATGAAAAGGGATGGAGAGGGAGAGGGATGGAAAGGGACGAAGAGGGATGCTAAGGGATGGAGAGGGATGGAGAGGATAAAGAGGGATGACGAGGGAGGTTAAACACCTGAGAAATGGCCGAGCAAGAGGTTCAGTGGCAAGACGAGAGGAAGGGAGACAGCCCGCAGTCTGTAGCGGAGAGGGAGGTGCCAAATGAACCAATCCGCACCCTCACAACACTCACCAGCGTTGTTCCCATCAAACACACACATCCACACACATCCACACACCTCCACACACCTCCACACACCTCCACACATACACACTCACCAGCGTTGTTCCCATCAAACACACACGTCTTGAACCGCACTCTGCCGTTCCCCGCCACTGAAATGGCCCCTCTGAGACTCCTGGGCGCGGAGTTGTCTTTGAAGAGGCAGCGGTGGAAGTAGAGCGGCGGCACACAGCCCAGCGGGCTCCCCGCGTTGATGCTGATGGCTCCTCCCTTATCATACACACACCTCCACACCACACACCTGCGCACACCTCCACAGATGTCAACTCACCAGCGTTATTGCCGTCAAACACACACGTCTTGAACCGCACCCTGCCAGTCCCCGCCACCGAGATCGCCCCTCCCAAACTCCTGGGCGCGGTGTTATCCTTGAAGAGGCAACGCACGAAGTAGAGCGGCGGCACGCGGCCCAGAGGGCTGCCCGCGTTGATGCTGACGGCGCCTCCCCCCAGGATGGGCGCTGTGTTGCTCTGAAAGGTGCAGCGCGAGAAGAGGCGGTACGGAGGGGTGGCTGTTCCAGGGAAGGAGTCGCTGTGGGGTTGGGGCGGGTGGGGAGCAGGGTGGGGGGCAATAGAGAGTGCGTGGAGGAGAGGAAGGAGAGGGGAGGGGGGGAGATTGGTAGAAGGTGGTACGAAAGTTTTAGAGGCGCCTTAAAGGAGAGGACAGGGGATCGGCCGAGAGTGAGGAGATTCGGTGGGTGGTTGTGTGGTCTCACAGCTCGTGACAACAGACCATCCCTCCCTCACTCCCTCACACCCTCACCCCCTCACTCCCTCACCTGAGCACCCCTCCGCCAATCCCAGGAGCCGTGTTGCTCAAGAACACGCATTGACTCGCGTTGACCGCCGCCCGCACGTTGAACAGGACGCCTCCTGCCGCCCGCTGGAAGTTGAGGTTGACCAGAGTCAACAGCCCCCCCGTGGGGCCGGATGAGGGGGAGGTGAATATGGGGAAGGCGCCTTCCCCGCTGATGATGCACCTGGTGTTGGGGAGAAGGAAGGAGAGAGAGAGGAATAGGGGTTGTGATCACAAGATAAGGGACAGCGGGTTAGGGGAAGTGGGAGGATGACAGCGAGAGAGAAAGTGGGAGTGGGGGATGGGAGAAGAAGCCATCGCCTGCCATCAGGAGCTTCACGAATTAACTGATAATATACCTGACGAATCTCCTGAACGGACACCTGGATAAGACATCAGAGCATGGCAACTGAGGTGCTATCATCTGGCCAGCAAACATGGCAGCAGAAGGGCGAGTAAGCAACTGCTATATAAATCTGGTAACCCGCTTCTGCTTTCGGCAAAGTGGTAGCCCTGCTAGGAACTGGTAACCCTACGCAACCTCAAGTAACCTACATGCTATATAACATCCAACCACCCACCTGGTAACCCGGTTACCAACCTGGAGGTGGCACACGCGCCCTTGACGGTCAGCTTGGCCGCGCCTGAGAGTGCGGGGAGCGGGCTGGGGGGAGGAGAGCGAGAGGGGGGAAACGGGGGAGGGGAAAAGGGGGACGAGTATTAACGTGAGAGGGATCTTTGTTTGAGTTGGCTTATGCAACAGTCGCACGGAGATTGGGCTCGAAATCGTAGATTCGGTATGGTAGATTAGGGCCATGCTTGGGATGAGGCGCTGCGAGTGTGCAGTGTGACAGAGTGACCCTTCGTGGGATGACGTGGCATGCGTAGAGGTGGAGTGACGTGGCATGTGAACTTACCCTGTGAGTGCCACGTTGGATGTGAGGACGAGGACTGTCGGGGACGCGCTTGCGCCTCTCTGCATGCATGCCACGTGGACGGAAACACACACACACACACACACACACACACGCGCGCGCACACGCACATGCGCACGCATACACGCGCAAACGTACACAGGGAGAATGGAGGCAAACGTTACATTCAGCACTGACAAAATCGCATCCCAGCCGTGCCTAGACATCTCCAGAACCGTGACGCCAGGATTCCGACTCCGACAGATTCCGACCTCGACAGATTCCGACTCCGACAGATTCCGACTCCGACAGATTCCGACTCCGACAGATTCCGACTCCGACAGATTCCGACTCCGACAGATTCCGACTCCGACAGATTCCGACTCCGACAGATTCCGACTCCGACATCAAACACGGAACGTGCTTCTAGCGTGGTTCATGTTGTCAAGAGTCGTGACGCCAGGGATCGGTACTAAGCACGACCTTCGAGTCGACTATAAGCACACCCTCCTAGTCGATTCCGAAATCAAGCGCGGGTACACGAGGGCTTGGCGAGGAGGTTACATTGAATCCGCTATAAATGCTCCGCTAGCAGGCACCCCACTCTGTCGCGATAAAGGTATTCGTCAACCCGAATAGCCGCTGATATGATACGATGGTTTGTGACAAGGAACCCCCTCGCGGTGTTGCTAGCATTCTCGGCGTGCTCAGATGCTGGTAGCACTCCGTGAATTACGGAGTGCGCGAAACTACGAAAAGCCTACCGAGCTCGCCTTGCTGCTGGCGGCTTCCGGTTCCTACGCCACGCGATACCAGCGGGATATCCGCGGGATAGCCGCGCGATACCCGCGGGATAGCACCGTAAGACCCGTGGGATAGCCGCGCGATACCCCCGTATCATTCGCGTGATGCTCGCGAGGCGTGACAGAGTAACTACACGATGATGCGCTTCCACATGCACTGCTAGAGCACATACGAGTGCACTATTATCGGTGCGCGGCCACAGCCATGGAAATGCGTACTGCGTACTATAGCTATGGTACTAACTCAGCCGTACCGCGTTCGCCTTGTTGATGGCATCTTCTAGTTCCGACGCCGTGATAGCCGCGGGACCGCAGATTAATCCAAGGACTAGCGATGCGACGAGGAGGGAGGTGAGGTGTTGGCGTGCTGTGAGTGGTTCCGCCATCCTGATTCTAACGACGGTAGCCAAAGACTATGGACTAAAAATAGTAGCAGACAAGGTAAGTGTTGTGAGGGTCAATGCTTCGCACTTCGATAATGTGCTCTAGGAGAAACTATCCTTGTTCTATAATACAGAACTCGAAACTCAGAACCGCAGGTCAAGACAGCTTTTGTGCAAGATGGATGCTTGTTTACGGCTGCGTGAAACCCACACAGAGCAGCTGTAAATCCATACTTGTGTGAACAGAACCGCGTTTTTTGCTCGAATTCGACACGCTGCCCCACTCGCGCGATGGGGTCAACTTCACCGCAGGGCTTGCAGTGACGCCTGCCTGGCACCACAGAACGAATGGCAGATGTGGGAAATGGTGATGCAGGTTTGGGGGACAGGGAGTGACGGTGGGAAGTTGGGACTGGGGGAGGTGAGGAGAAGCGGTTTTATTCATATGAAACAGCTGCATCACAGCTGAAGGTGATGGTGTTTAATTAAAATGGAGCTGTCCAGAACTTCCCGTTCTGTTGAGTTCGAGTTTGAAAAATTCACTCTTTTGTGCACCTGGCAAAATCATACAGTGATTCATGCCCCTGGTCAAGAGGTCATCAAAATTCAATCTCTTGACTAGCGACAGAAGTCATCCCCGTGTTGCGGGTGTCCAGCTGCTCCAAGCAAAACACGCGATTTCAAGCCAGCCGCAATAATCGCGCGTACAGTACATCGTCAAAACCTGCGACTTGAAAGCCAGGGGCGGTTTCAGGTGAGCGCCACGTCATCCACGGCTGGATCCGAATGCTCGTGTAACGTCATTGGTTGGCGCGGCCTTTCAAACCCCAGTTCGCACCAACGCCAGTTTCCCAGGAAACAGTGTCAGCTGAAACGACATCTGTTTTTCTGGAAATGTACACTCCACCATACTGTATCCATGCAAGAAACATCAAGCACTCCCCCCCACTTGTAATAGATTCTGGTTTCCCGTTCATTGAGCACATCAGTATCTGGACCTACATGCTCGAAATTAAACATGATAAATGGGCATAGTAGCATATCATAAGATCAAAGATATATGACCTCACATAACTGCCACCTCACACAAACCAATATAGAAAGGAAATTCAAAATCATTGTGTCATAATAACAACCAATCAAGCCACATGTAGCTTTGAAAGGCTTTCGGTTCGGTGGCTGTTCCGGAAGCTGTGCAGAAGGCCCAGAAGCAGCAGAAACAAGCTCAAGCTCGTGGTTCTTTGTTCAGCTAGTCCTACACTACACCAATACCAACTAGGTAGCTAGCGACTGCACGACACATGGGCACTCCATTTGCAAATTCAGTATTCCACCTCGCATGGGTCTTCTTCTGTGCACCCCTTGATGCCATACTGCATGGTAGAACACCCGGAAAGGGGAATGGAGAGAAATCAATCATCAAGTGACGCGTTGAGAAAAACGTGTCCAAAGCAATGGATGGTATGACCCATCTCCCTATATCAGCAGCCTAGGGGCTTTGTATCATGAACATTTACCTCGTATGGAACCCGTATAAGGTGGTCTGCATAACTGTGCTAATACATAAATGGTCCCACTAAACCATTTGTTCACAATTTGGGACCACACGAAGTGATGGGTACACCTCTTCCGTTTGAACGGACGCCTGAACTCTTGAAAGCACACCACTTATAAACAGCCACACCATGGAAAGACACCTTCTCCATTATGAGCACACCCATATTAAGTGAAGCATGTTGGAGTACACAGAATATGCAGACAACTCGCACCCAGTTTTGCAAAAGCTGATATCATCCTACATATAGCCCGTTTCATCTCACCTTGGTCCGCTTGCGTTCCTCGAAAGCAGCCTGGATACCCGGATGACCTGCAAGGAGGATTCACGCACCAGACACCACCCCACCATGCATGCACCCATCCACATGCACCCATCCACATGCATCGTGCATGCGCGATAAACCCATTTATGTCAGGTGCATTGGCAAGTGCAAGCAGCAGATACCGCCCCACCATGAACCCATCTACATGCACCGTGCGTGCGCGATATAATGATTAATTAAAGGTCCCTTGGTCAAGTGCAAGTGGGATGTTTTCTCTTTTGATAGACAGAATGTTGTGCTAGTTGGTAGAATGACTCGGGAAATGAAAGCGGAAGAGAGTGGAAATATGAGCAGGGTGGACGAGAGGAGTTATGAGTTGCATGGATGAACACAAGCTTCTCTTCGCTCATTACAAAAAGCAGCACGTCACAAGGAGCTCGTACCAGTGAGTGGGAGGCGGTACTTAGCAAAGAGCTCGTACATGGCATCAACCACCACTGCTATCTGAGGGTGGGAGAGAGGGAGGTGTTGAGAGAAGAGGGAGGGAATGTGAAAGAAACGAGATGAGGTTTAGAGCGAGCTCGTACATGGCATCCACCACCACTGCTATCTTGGGATACAAGAAGCGGGAGGGGTTAAGATTTGAAAGCGAGGTTCAAACGAGGAGGATGAGGAGCAACAAATATTGAGAACATTATCGAGTGAAGAGGAACTGCAGTGATGGTAAGTTAGGGTAAAAGAAGACAGCAGAAAGATATCTGTGTCCGTGGCCGGTGGGTGGTGGCCATGTGGTGGCCACGTGGTGACCCATGTGGTGGCCACGTGGTGACCCATGTGGTGGCCACGTGGTGACCCATGTGGTGGCCATGTGGTGACCCATGTGTGAAGAGAGAGCCACATGGTTCTCCTCATTTGCAGCCAGTCCGCCCCTCCACCCATGAAATGACTGCCTACCGGGGGAAAGAGTGGAGAACTGTTTTTGAGGCACCTTGAACAGACAGGATTGCGTACCGGGGGGAAGTTGGTGACGTTGATGATCCAGCCCAGCCCCACTGCATCGTAGAAGCTGCGAAAAGCCTGCGTGAGGGGGAGAGGAGGGGGGGGAAGGGGTGGAGGGTGTTATATCATTGAATATAAGCATTGATGATTATATTCAATGATAAGGACCGTTCGAGTGTTACGTGTTGCTGCCTGTGCAGGGAGAGAGAGTGTTACATGTTGCTGTGCAGAGAGGGGGAATGTGACGTGCTCATGCAACACTCCAGTCCACTCCACATGCAAACTGACAGAACCTTGCCAACTCACATTCACATGCCAACTCACATTCACTTTCCATACCAAATCACAGTGAGACCTGACTTTAGATTGGTTTCAACCACAGACCTTTGGCTTTGCTTTCATAAAAAGTTTCGGTGTTCCATTATTGTGGAGTCTGAATGAGTCAGACTCATATATTCTTTAGTTCATTTTTCCCAGTACAGACTTTCACGAAACTGAAACTCCAGGCAGCAAAGTGTATGAACCCTAAATAGTCGGCTCGGCTCACATCCCGATTGCAACCAAGCAACTCACGTCCATGCTTTTGACAACCGTGCCATCCCGAAAGACCCCATGCATGTGACCCATGGCCTGCCAAGGGAAGGGGAGCAGAATGAAGGAGACTGTTGTTATGATGGAATATGCTGTTGAGTTGAAACAATCAAGAGGTTGCTATCATGAATGGAATGTCTATTGAGACGAAAAGATACAAAAAATTGACCAGTGCATGTGATCCATGGCCTACCGGATGCCATGAGAGGGAAAACAATGGAAAGAATTGCATTATACTGGAATGTGCATTAGTTACGAAAAACCACGACGAAGGGCACCAGACAAGCATTATATTAAAACCGGAGTCCCAAACAGCCCAAAACTGCCTCAAACTTCCTAACTTTGGTTGGGTGTGACCCAGTAGATACTGACTCTCTTCGAAAACCGTAGGGACAATTTTCACCAGGCGAAATTACTGGACGATAGCAGTGACGATTTCGCAAACAGATTTCGGGCCCATCCGAAACTATCTGCGAACGCATTTTGACGTTGCATTCCAGATCTGGTTACACTCGCGAGGTTTTCATACTTTACGACCCACAACCACCGATTTCGACAACACCCTGGTTCGCGAGCCAGTCGCGTTTCTTGCCCCAACCAACCTTCCTCAGTTTGATAATCTTGGACCTCCGGTTTTAACGAGGAAGCATGATATCAAGGGGGAGTCAGATGGAAAAGGGAAATGCGATGGGCAGGGGAAGGGGTGATCTACTCCGTGTGACAGTTAATCTCGTCGTCACACACACTTGCTTGCATGCTCTGTATGCTTCTCCTCTATTTTCGGCAGGGTCACATCCTCCTCAGTTGATCAGCACACGAGCTTGAGTTGAGTGTGTGGGTGGGACTCCATATCATAATCTACTACCATCTTTCTTTATCCTCGTTATAAATTCTCTTGTTTCACCCATTTTGAGCACGTTAAATCCAATCTGATAGAACACCACCTTCATTATCCTCGTCACAGTCACTCTCGTTACACGCACCTCCTCGTACTCGACTCCGCCGTTCTCATCGGGGTCATAGTCTTCAGAGGAGATATCCACAAACTTGAGCGTTTGGAACTGCTGGTTGCGCGCTGAGAGGAACTCCACCTGCAAGAATTGGAGGTTGAGTTGGGTGAGTGAGAAATGAGAATGAGTGGTGATTCATGCACCTCAAACGGCGGACTTGAGCGTCTGAAACTGTTGGATGCGGGCCGAGAGGAACTCCACCTGCAAGATCTGGTGGTTGAATTGAGCGAGTGGGGGGTGAGAAATGAGAAAGAATGGTGATTCGTGCACCTCGAAAGGCGGACTTGAGCGTTTGAAACTGCTGGTTGCGGGCCGAGAGGAACTCCACCTGCAAGAGGCAGGAGGGCGGGTAGGTGATAGATGGATAGGAAGGGAAAGATCGACATTTCATCTCCCTCAAACGGCGAACTTGTGTGCTTGAACCTTTTTGTTGCGTGCTGGGAGGAGGGAGGGACTCCACCTGCAGGAGAAGCAAGGGTGGGTGGGTGGGTAGGTGGGTGGGTGGTGGGAAGGGGAGCAACGGCAATGCATGCAGGTCAAACGGCGACCGTGAGTGTGTTGCATGCTGAGAGGATCTCTACCTGCAAGAGAAGGGAGAGTGAGCAAGAGCTGCAAGAGAAGGGAGAGTGAGCAAGAGCTGCAAGAGAAGGGAGAGTGAGCACGAGCTGCAAGAGAAGGGAGAGCGAGCAAGAGCTGCAAGAGAAGGGAGAGTGAGCAAGAGCTGCAAGAGAAGGGAGAGTGAGCAAGAGCTGCAAGAGAAGGGAGAGTGAGCAAGAGCTGCAAGAGAAGGGAGAGCGAGCAAGAGCTGCAAGAGAAGGGAGAGTGAGCAAGAGCTGCAAGAGAAGGGAGAGTGAGCAAGAGCTGCAAGAGAAGGGAGAGTGAGCAAGAGCTGCAAGAGAAGGGAGAGTGAGCACGAGCTGCAAGAGAAGGGAGAGCGAGCAAGAGCTGCAAGAGAAGGGAGAGTGAGCAAGAGCTGCAAGAGAAGGGAGAGTGAGCAAGAGCTGCAAGAGAAGGGAGAGTGAGCAAGAGCTGCAAGAGAAGGGAGAGCGAGCAAGAGCTGCAAGAGAAGGGAGAGTGAGCAAGAGCTGCAATAGAAGGGAGAGTGAGCAAGAGCTGCAAGAGAAGGGAGAGTGAGCAAGAGGTGCAAGAGAAGGGAGAGTGAGCAAGAGCTGCAAGAGAAGGGAGAGTGAGGAAGAGGTGCAAGAGAAGAGAAGGAATGGTGGGTGAGAGAGGTGTGCAAGAGAAGGAACGGTGTGCTGGGCGGGAAGAAGGAATATCGGGTCCACTGGTGCCTTTTATGCGCGGGTGTCATTCTCACTGACAACACGTGCATGCCTTGCTCGGCTTGGACACGTCTCAAAACTCGACAAGCGCGTGCATTGCGTGCATGTTCCCGTTCCTCCTAACAACTGACACGACTTACAGCTCACAGCATCTTTAAACGCCAAGGCGATGAAGGGAGAGAGCAAACGAAAGCAAGAGAAAGGAGAGGAGAAAGCCCCTCTGTCACACATGCATCCACGTGGCAGGCAGCCTCTCACCTGCTTCATGCAGATTGGGCAGTCCCCGTCATATAGCACCTTCACCTTCCACGCGTCACTCTCCTGTGGTTCTGTTGACGTGGCACTCTCTGCCTGAGCTGATGCAAAGGCTGATCCCGCTGGTGAGAGGAGGAGAGGAGTGAGGAGGTTGAGGAGGGAAGAAGGAAAACGGAGGGACGAAGGGATTGGAGAGGAAGGGAGGACAAACAGGAACGGAGTCGTTATTATGATCATGCTTTGGTCCAAAGCAAAAAAGGATGAATAGAGGCTGAGATGGGCGAGGAGGGAAAGAGGGAAAAACGTATTGTACAACTAAGGAGCATATTCTTAAAGCGTTCTGTACTCTTCTGTGCGTTGATGGGTTCTCCTCTAGAGGGAGGCGCGTGCTACATATAACCAAATCCTATGACTTCAAAATGAGAGCACAAACAAAAAGAGCACCCACCTCGTAATCTTGACGTTCCCAAGGGGCTGGGTGGGCAGTAGGTGTTAAGCAGTACATGGCTGCTGCTTTTGAGGCGCCTCCATATGAGAGCACAACAAAAGAAGCACCCACCTCGTAATCTTGACGCTCCCAAGGGCTTGGGTGGGCAGTAGGTGTTAAGCAGTACATGGCTGCTGCTTTTGAGGCGCCTCCATATGAGAGCACAACAAAAGAAGCACCCACCTCGTAATCTTGACGCTCCCAAGGGCTTGGGTGGGCAGTAGGTGTTAAGCAGTACATGGCTGCTGCTTTTGAGGCGCCTCCATATGAGAGCACAACAAAAGAAGCACCTACCTTGTAATCTTGACGCTCCCAAGGGCCTGGGTGGGCAGTAGGTGTTAAGCAGTACATGGCTGCTGCGGCTGCTACCGCTTCTGAAGCTGCTGCTGCTGAGGCTGCTGCATGCTCTGCTCGTGCTTGTACCGCAGTGGTGGCCGCGTGACAGAAACGAAGCCACAGGCGCCGGAGAGGCTAACGGCTGACTCAGATTTGACGAGGATCGCTGCAGCGCGAGGCTTGTAGGGCTTGTGAGGCTTGTGAGGGTGGTGGGGGTTGAGAGGCGGTAGGTGGATGAGAGGGCCGCAGCCTCCATGGGTGATTCTGTGGGTGTGGGATCAACATCACAACATCACACACAGGGGAAGGGTGGCCTTTGAACCAACACAATAGGCCCGTAGGCTCCATGAGCGATCCTGTGGTGGGGGTTGAGAGGCGGCAGGTGGATGACAGAGCCGCAGCCTCCATGGGTGATTCTGTGGGTGTGGGATCAACATCACATCGACACACACAGGGGAAGGGTGGCCTTTGAACCAACACAATAGGCCCGTAGGCTCCATGTGCGATCCTGTGGTGGGGGTTGAGAGGCGGTAGGTGGATGAGAGGGCCGCAGCCTCCATGGGTGATCCTGCGGGTGTGGGGTCGCATCACCACAGGGAAGATCAAGGGCGGAACCAGGAGAGGCAGAGACATCAGCAGAGTTATGAGCGCGACACGGAGGAGAGGGATGAGCGCGACAAGGAGAGTGGAAAGAGAGACCTGGAAGAAACAGATCAAGTGGGAGCGAGCGTCAAGGACTCAGCACCGTACGCGTGAGTGTGACCGTCCCTTAGGTAGCCTTAGGTCCCTTCAGTAGGCGCGAACACCCGAAGAGAGCAATGTTATTGCGGAAATATTATAGCAGCGCCATTCGATTCTTTGTCTCCGTTATAAGTTTGCCCGTTCTTCCTCGTTCGCCTGCCCAGTTTTGTCACCGTGTCTCTTCTTCCACAACGTTAGCCGCGCCTATCGGGTCCTTACTCTGCCGCATTCAGTCTCCTTGTTCTGATTACTTATTCCGTCCCATTCTGCCTTCTTCCGATTCCTTCTTCCGTCTCTTTGTGTCTTATTGTGATTCCTGAACTCATCTCATTCTGCCTTAATCTAATTCCTTATTCCGCCTCATTCCGTCTTATTCTGACAACCTGAGCTGTCAGAACTTCAATATACTGTTGCGGTCATTACCTTGAGCGACGGAGATCGCCCGTTCTGATTGTGAAAGGAAGGATTGTCGATGCCAAGCAGAACACAGCACAGCCTCTCAAACACACAACGCGCAGCGGGATCACTCGAAATGCGTAGAGGGAGAGAGAGAGGGAGCGAGAGAAGCAGAATCCAGAAGAGACGTTCTTCCCGAGCCGAGTAGATAACAAGAACGGATGCTCTTACTACGTGTAGTTACCTCTTGCGTCTCGCTCGGCAATATCAAGGCTACGACTCAGATTCCTGACAAAATCAAAGCTCAAGCTGGGTGACAGGTGGACACTTGCCAAAAAGGTACGCTTTTATTGGGCAATATCTAACCACTCGTTCACCACCATGCCCCCTACAGTACGTGACACAGTGTAGGACCCAATTCCCAATCCCAAGGCTGCTTCGAGAATGTCGATGGAAGCAGCTGGGAGCACAGACGCAGACCCGAAACATCCTCGGAAAAAAGCCATGACGAGCCTGACGAGATTCGCGAATTTCGAACGAGGAATATGAGCGAATGCGAGCCCAGCATTTCGACTGTCACGACGGTCAACGAAGTGATTGCAGACTCAACGAGAAGGGATACGGGTAACGAGAGATCTTCTTACTTCAACGACCACCGCCTATCTGCCAGCACAAGCAACCCCGCTCCGCATCGCTGGTTCCTGAGTCCTGACATGGCACGAACGGCCAGATCCACGTGCTGAGGAACTGGCGCGTGGTGCAACAAAGATGGAGTGGTGGGAGAGATTGTGGTGGCGGTGTGTCCCGATTGGTGGTCACCACGACACCTGGCTGCGATCTGGGCAGAATGGGCAGAAATTCGCTGCCCAGTGCCAGCCAGAAGCCCACGCGCTGACGTGGAAGTAAACTTTCCTCGAAGTTGGTACAAGTTGATGCTCTTATCGAGTACTTCCACAACAGATCTACTTGCACAAAATACAATACCGTGTGTGTTGCAAGAGTGGTATGAAATTGGAGAATACAAGTAGCACCACTTCCAATATGCAACACCTTTCAAGCATTTAGTTTTGCTACTACAATGCATAAGCTGCTCATCAAATCCCAGCACAACCTTAATATGCTCTACGCCCCGACCGTCCCTTTTTCTCGTCTCGGTCTTTAAAAAACGAAAGCAGCAGCAGCACAGACCAGAACCCAAAGCCCCACCAGAAGCGACCACCACCACCCCCACCTCCTCCACCACCCCCATCGTCATCCCGAGGAGGGAAACCTGTTCCCCCCATGTCAAGCTTCGCCACTGGAGGAGCAGGAGACAGTAGGGGCACGGGTGCAACAGGGCAAGAGCGCAACGAAAGTGGGTGAATGTAGTAGATCGGCTGAGAAAGAGTGATTCATGAGTTTGTAATGGTGGCGATATGGTAGGCAGGAACAGGAGTGATGCAGAGCATGTGGCAATGGGGGGCTCAAGGAGGAGAGGGGTGGGGTGGAGGGGAATAGGTTGGGATTCTAAAGGTGAAGGGGCGGAGGGTGGGGAGGACGGGAAAGAAGAATGAGGGGAAGGTCAACATGGAGACGGGGAAGGATGGAGAGAAACGTAGAGAGGCGGAGGCGGGGGGACACATGGAGACACAGGGGAAGGGAGGGACGGGAAGAGGGAGGACGGAGGCAGATAAACGATGAGGCAGCTTGGGAGGGAGGTGGGAGATGGAGAACAGAAAATGATAGATGTAGAAGACGAGAAGGGGGAAGAGTGGAAGAAAGGAGGGCGGAAGGGAGCGAGGAAAGGAAGAAGGGCAAGGGGAAGAGGGAACAAAGAGGGGAGAAGACATGGAGGAATGAAGGGAGGAAGAAGATGGGGGAGGAAATGGAGGGCGAGAAAATGCGGGAGAGGAAAGATGGAGGAAGGGATGAAGCACAACAGGAGGGGATGGACGGAAAATCGAGAAAAGAACCTCGCCATCATTTCACGTACCATATCGAGTCCCATTGCTTCTGTTGCATGGCCTGCTGCTGCTGCGATCGCAGCGACCATGATTACTCAACAAGAGATATCCAATCTGTATTGGCAGCTGATGGTCACAGAGCTCACACAATTGGCAGCTGACGTGCCGCACCTCACCAACGAATACGGACTGATTCTGCTGTGTTTCCTGCTGCGATCCCGGCGACCCTGGCAACGAAGCCGTCTCTCCTCGTGTCCCGTGAGACAAAGTCAGTCACAGCACCTCAAGACCCAACCAGACGATTTCCCTATTTCCACACACCGTTGAGAGCCGACCGGCCCTCAGCTCACCGTTCAGAGCCGACTGCTTCTGCTGTGTGCCCTGCTGCGATCCCAACGACCCTGGCGATGACAACTACGACTCTCTAGTTCGATTTTGGACTCACCATTAGAAACGGACTGCTTCTTCTGCCAGGCCTGCTGCGATCCCAACGACCCTGGCGATGACAACTACGACTCTCTAGTTCGATTTTGGACTCACCATTAGAAACGGACTGCTTCTTCTGCCAGGCCTGCTGCGATCCCAACGACCCTGGCGATGACAACTACGACTCTCTAGTTCGATTTTGGACTCACCATTAGAAACGGACTGCTTCTTCTGCCAGGCCTGCTGCGATCCCAACGACCCCGATCACGGCGGCGCCTTTCCTCGTGTCCCTGAATTCAGGTAATAGCACAGCACCCATCACTATTTGATCAATACTTTTCCCATTCTGAGCTCACCGTTGGGCGCCGATTGCTTTTGCTGTGTTGCCTGCTGCGATCCCGACGTTCCCGACGACGACTGCGACTCTCCTCCGCCGCCGGACGACATCTGCGTGTCGCACGCCGCCGCGTGAACAACCAGCGACGCAGTATTGCTTCGTCGCAGAACTGGCGAAGGTCTTATGATGTTTTGAGGCGCGTGTTGATTCATGTTTAGCCGCATGATCGCCGACGGTCTGATGCCATGTTGAACTGCTGACGATGTGGGAGTGACATAGAGCGACGTGCACGCGAATTGTGGCGACGTGCTTGTCTGCGACATTTTCCCGTTTCGCCAGTTTCGGCAAGATGACGAGGACACTAAATCGACCGACGGTGTTACCGCGAGAGAAAGTGACAGTGGCATTGCTAACGGTCAGTGGAACAGCAGGCGCAATGGGTGTCAGACGGGACTAATTTACGGTAATCAACGGTCTAGGCTGCGCCGAAACACTCGGTCCCGTGGAATTTATTCGTTCGTTCGTTGTGATCAGCAAGGAGCAGACGTCATGGGAGTAGACAAATGACCCTAAGGGGAGACTAGTTTCCGAAGAATAACGTCGTCGTGATCTTGCAATGAAGCACAAGCGCCGTGGTCCATGCAAAATGCTGACAGAACTGAGGCAAGTGGCAGTCAATTCGCTACTCCTCTCGCTCCCGTTTCCATCCAAAGCTGAGAGAATTGCTCCAGGGCCTTGTTTGGTGATTCGCTCTTGCCCACGTGTCACCGAATTGCTCGCGTGGCCATCAAATTCAGTGATAATTGCTCGAGTGGCCACGCCAGGGGATTTTCGAGGTGTTTGTTTTCCCCGGCACATTACCCTACAAGGAATTTAGCCCCGAAAGTCCTCTCACGAACTCGTCTCATCCCGGGCAAGCGTTGCGTACTATTCCCCACTCGAAATTTTCGCAATGTCTAATATGCCCCGCGCATAAAACGGATCAATCATATTTAGAAATTACGTGATTAGTCCGTTTTATGCGCGGGGCATATTTAGACACTGCGCGTCCAATCATATACGGTCATATATAGTTCCGATCATAAATTTCGGATAAATGAAACCACGCACTTACCTATATGATCGCGGATTTATATGCTCGAGCGCTTATTGGTTACGAATTTGTTTGACCGAGCGCTCATTGGTCGTGCATTGGGCCGAAATTGAGCGCGCATGTACTGTTGGTCGTGATTATTTGTCGGTTTCCTGTACAGTGTGTGGGCCACGTTCGCCCCCGCCCACCCTGGCGAAATTTTCGAGTGGGGAATAGTACGCAACACTTGCGCGGGATGAGACGAGTACGTGAGAGGACTTTCGGGGCTAAATTTCTTGTAGGGTAATGTTCCGGGGAAAACAAACACATCCAAAATCCCCTGGCGTGGCCACTCGAGCAATTATCACTGAATTTGATAGCCACGCGAGCAATTCGGGGACACGTGGGCAAGAGCGAATCACCAAACAAGGCCCTGGAGCAATTCTCTCTCCAACGCTCGACGGGTAGGATGTATTGAGTCGAGTATGCAACATTTGGTATATACTGTACACAGAGGCATAGCTAGGTAATTATGCACTCTCCATATAATGAATCCTAGAAATTGGGTAACAGAAAGCCAAAAGCAAAAAAAAGATCCAAGTACAGAAGCCACATAACAGTAGACATTTTCTCTGTGCACTTAAAGATAACAAAGGAGCTTTCTGAATCTTGATAGAATTGATTAACTCGGATAATCTCACATAATACACAAAAGTCACCACCATCTTCTCTATATAGCAGCGGCATCCAATGAGCGCAATCTGGAAGCAACAGCAATTCTGGCTAGATTAATGTCCCTCACAACACCCTTGGGCGCCGGCAGAGAGAGAGCAATAATCTGGCGACACATGGGCACATATCGAATCCCCAACCCCCTGTAGTGATTCACCCTTATAATGTTTGTATGTAGATTCAACCCACCGCCTGTACTCCCTATAAGCAGCCCCTGCACGTCGTCAACAGGAATCAGCTTCCCTGTAAAAGCTGCCCCACTAAGAGCACCCACACTCGTACTGTTTCCTGTACTGTTACCATTATCGTTACTGTTACCCTCTTCCCTGCCGGAAGTGGCCAGAAGGGCAGCGGCAGCTGCACCAGAGGCAGCAGCAGCGGCATCAGGGGGAGCATTGGCATCATAGGCAGCGTTGAGCTCGTAGACCCGGTGAATCTGCAGCACCTGCGCTGCTCGAGGGTTCACCACGTACTTTCGATGGCCGTCCCACTTGAGGCATGCGTCTCGACTGTGGTAAACAGAGGGGAAAAGGGGGGGATCATAGGCAGGTAGGGTTGAGTTCGTACAAGAGGTGGATTTGCAACACCTGTGCTGCTCGAGGGTTCACCACGTACTTTCGATGGCCGTCCCACTTGAGACATATGATGAAAGGAGGGGGAGAGTGCAGAGAGCTGGAGTGGAATGTCCTCCTGAAGAACCACCTGAAATACAATCACCTGGAGGGACTCCTGGAGAAGCACTTGGAATAGAGAGGCATATTGTATTGGAGAGCTCCTTGCGTTACAACTAGTGCGCCACTCACACACCTGTTAAATTCACCTGAAGAATCACCTGCGTAGCTAAAGCAAACGCACCTGTAGTACTTGGTGGCCTCCTTGGAGTGCGCCATGCCACTCACACTTGTGCTGAATTCACCTGAAGAACTACCTGAGCACCAATGCAACCGCACCTGTAGTACTTGGTGGGGTCCTTGTAATGCACTACCCACTTTTCTGCTGTATTCACCTGAAAAACACCCTAGCAGCAGAAGCAAAGCGAACGCACCTGTAGTACTTGGTGGGCTCCTTGCAGTGCGGCACCGGCTCTCGAAACACCAGCTGCTCCACCGCCCACGGCTCCCACCCCGCCTCCTGTACAGGAAGGGGTTGAGTGGGTTTGACAGGGGTTTAGGAAAGGGTTGAGTGCGGTGTGAAGTGCCTTGAACTATGAAGCCCAAAACACCAGCTGCTCCACCGCCCATGGCTCCCACCCGGCCTCCTGTGGAAAGGGATTGAGTGCGGTTGGCAGGTGCAGAGGAAGGGGTTAAGTGGGGTTGAGAGGGGCCTAGGAAGGGGGGTTGCCAGGGGCATATAAAGGGGTTGAGTGGGGTTGACAGGGGCATAGAAAGGGCACACAGATGGTACACACACACACACACCTGTATCTTGCCGCAGATGTCGAGGGGGAAGGTGAGGGATCCGAAGGAGAGCCAGGGGATGGCGGGCACTGAGTTGAGAAAGACTAGCAGCGAGTGGGGCGGCTCCACCACGTGGATGTACTCGTCGACATCCATGAACAGTACCCATCTGATGGGTGGGGAGGGGGGGGTGGGTATGGCATCCATCTCGAGTGGGGCGGCTCCACCACGTGACTGTACTCGTCCAAGTGCATGAATAGCACCCACCTGGTGGTGCCGGGCATAAACGAGATGGGATGCACATAGAGGACACACGCACATAGAGGACACACGCACATAGAGGACACACGCACATAGAGGACACACGCACATAGAGGACACACGCACATAGAGGACACACGCACATAGAGGACACACGCACATAGAGGACACACGCACATAGAGGACACACGCACATAGAGGACACACGCACATAGAGGACACACGCACATAGAGGACACACGCACATAGAAGGACACACGCACATAGAGGACACACGCACATAGAGGACACACGCACATAGAGGACACACGCACATAGAGGACACACGCACATAGAGGACACACGCACATAGAGGACACACGCACATAGAGGACACACGCACATAGAGGACACACGCACATAGAGGACACACGCACATAGAGGACACACGCACATAGAGGACACACGCACATGGATGGGAGAGACTTGAGTGAGGAGGCTACTGGCTCCGCTCCACCACGTGACTGTACTCGTCCACGTGCATGAATAGCACCCACCTGTGAGGGGCGAGGGGCATTATGGCATGGCATGGGATGCACACGGCACCTGGTGGGTGGGGTGGGGGGCTTTTGAGAATTCTCAAAAGGTGCGCCCACCTGGTGGGTGGGGTGGGGGGCTTTTGAGAATTCTCAAAAGGTGCGCCCACCTGGTGGGTGGGGTGGGGGGCTTTTGAGAATTCTCAAAAGGTGCGCCCACCTGGTGGGTGGGGTGGGGGGCTTTTGAGAATTCTCAAAAGATGCGCCCACCTGGTGGGTGGGGTGGGGGGCTTTTGAGAATTCTCAAAAGGTGCGCCCACCTGGTGGGTGGGGTGGGGGGCTTTTGAGAATTCTCAAAAGGTGCGCCCACCTGGTGGGTGGGGTGGGGGGCTTTTGAGAATTCTCAAAAGGTGCGCCCACCTGGTGGGTGGGGTGGGGGGCTTTTGAGAATTCTCAAAAGGTGCGCCCACCTGGTGGGTGGGGTGGGGGGCTTTTGAGAATTCTCAAAAGGTGCGCCCACCTGGTGGGTGGGGTGGGGGGCTTTTGAGAACTCTCAAAAGGTGCGCCCACCTGGTGGGTGGGGTGGGGGGCTTTTGAGAACTCTCAAAAGGTGCGCCCACCTGGTGGGTGGGGTGGGGGGCTTTTGAGAACTCTCAAAAGGTGCGCCCACCTGGTGGGTGGGGTGGGGGGCTTTTGAGAACTCTCAAAAGGTGCGCCCACCTGGTGGGTGGGGTGGGGGGCTTTTGAGAACTCTCAAAAGGTGCGCCCACCTGGTGGGTGGGGTGGGGGGCTTTTGAGAATTCTCAAAAGGTGCGCCCACCTGGTGGGTGGGGTGGGGGGCTTTTGAGAACTCTCAAAAGGTGCGCCCACCTGGTGGGTGGGGTGGGGGGCTTTTGAGAATTCTCAAAAGGTGCGCCCACCTGGTGGGTGGGGTGGGGGGCTTTTGAGAACTCTCAAAAGGTGCGCCCACCTGGTGGGTGGGGTGGGGGGCTTTTGAGAATTCTCAAAAGGTGCGCCCACCTGGTGGGTGGGGTGGGGGGCTTTTGAGAATTCTCAAAAGGTGCGCCCACCTGGTGGGTGGGGTGGGGGGCTTTTGAGAATTCTCAAAAGGTGCGCCCACCTGGTGGGTGGGGTGGGGGGCTTTTGAGAACTCTCAAAAGGTGCGCCCACCTGGTGGGTGGGGTGGGGGGCTTTTGAGAACTCTCAAAAGGTGCGCCCACCTGGTGGGTGGGGTGGGGGGCTTTTGAGAACTCTCAAAAGGTGCGCCCACCTGGTGGGTGGGGTGGGGGGCTTTTGAGAATTCTCAAAAGGTGCGCCCACCTGGTGGGTGGGGTGGGGGGCTTTTGAGAATTCTCAAAAGGTGCGCCCACCTGGTGGGTGGGGTGGGGGGCTTTTGAGAATTCTCAAAAGGTGCGCCCACCTGGTGGGTGGGGTGGGGGGCTTTTGAGAATTCTCAAAAGGTGCGCCCACCTGGTGGGTGGGGTGGGGGGCTTTTGAGAACTCTCAAAAGGTGCGCCCACCTGGTGGGTGGGGTGGGGGGCTTTTGAGAACTCTCAAAAGGTGCGCCCACCTGGTGGGTGGGGTGGGGGGCTTTTGAGAACTCTCAAAAGGTGCGCCCACCTGGTGGGTGGGGTGGGGGGCTTTTGAGAATTCTCAAAAGGTGCGCCCACCTGGTGGGTGGGGTGGGGGGCTTTTGAGAACTCTCAAAAGGTGCGCCCACCTGGTGGGTGGGGTGGGGGGCTTTTGAGAATTCTCAAAAGGTGCGCCCACCTGGTGGGTGGGGTGGGGGGCTTTTGAGAACTCTCAAAAGGTGCGCCCACCTGGTGGGTGGGGTGGGGGGCTTTTGAGAATTCTCAAAAGGTGCGCCCACCTGGTGGGTGGGGTGGGGGGCTTTTGAGAATTCTCAAAAGGTGCGCCCACCTGGTGGGTGGGGTGGGGGGCTTTTGAGAATTCTCAAAAGGTGCGCCCACCTGGTGGGTGGGGTGGGGGGCTTTTGAGAATTCTCAAAAGGTGCGCCCACCTGGTGGGTGGGGTGGGGGGCTTTTGAGAACTCTCAAAAGGTGCGCCCACCTGGTGGGTGGGGTGGGGGGCTTTTGAGAATTCTCAAAAGGTGCGCCCACCTGGTGGGTGGGGTGGGGGGCTTTTGAGAATTCTCAAAAGGTGCGCCCACCTGGTGGGTGGGGTGGGGGGCTTTTGAGAACTCTCAAAAGGTGCGCCCACCTGGTGGGTGGGGTGGGGGGCTTTTGAGAATTCTCAAAAGGTGCGCCCACCTGGTGGGTGGGGTGGGGGGCTTTCGAGAATTCTCAAAAGGTGCGCCCACCTGGTGGGTGGGGTGGGGGGCTTTTGAGAATTCTCAAAAGGTGCGCCCACCTGGTGGGTGGGGTGGGGGGCTTTTGAGAATTCTCAAAAGGTGCGCCCACCTGGTGGGTGGGGTGGGGGGCTTTTGAGAACTCTCAAAAGGTGCGCCCACCTGGTGGGTGGGGTGGGGGGCTTTTGAGAATTCTCAAAAGGTGCGCCCACCTGGTGGGTGGGGTGGGGGGCTTTTGAGAATTCTCAAAAGGTGCGCCCACCTGGTGGGTGGGGTGGGGGGCTTTTGAGAATTCTCAAAAGGTGCGCCCACCTGGTGGGTGGGGTGGGGGGCTTTTGAGAACTCTCAAAAGGTGCGCCCACCTGGTGGGTGGGGTGGGGGGCTTTTGAGAATTCTCAAAAGGTGCGCCCACCTGGTGGGTGGGGTGGGGGGCTTTTGAGAATTCTCAAAAGGTGCGCCCACCTGGTGGGTGGGGTGGGGGGCTTTTGAGAATTCTCAAAAGGTGCGCCCACCTGGTGGGTGGGGTGGGGGGCTTTTGAGAATTCTCAAAAGGTGCGCCCACCTGGTGGGTGGGGTGGGGGGCTTTTGAGAATTCTCAAAAGGTGCGCCCACCTGGTGGGTGGGGTGGGGGGCTTTTGAGAATTCTCAAAAGGTGCGCCCACCTGGTGGGTGGGGTGGGGGGCCAACACACTGAAAACACATGGAAGACATATGGCCTGTTTTGAGTGACAAAGTTTCAAGATGAAGTGCAGTGCAGTGCAGTGCAGTGCGGTGCGGTGCAGTGCAGTGCAGAGAACCAACCGACCGGTCAGCGTGCAACGTAAGGAGTGTTAGTGTGCGGTTGGAGTGAGGGTACGGATGGATGGATGGGATGAGCGAGATGATAAGAGAGAGGATGCGAAATAAGGGCTGTGGAAGAGGATGATAAGAGAAAGGATGCGAGAGAGGATGAGGGAGAGAAGGGCTGTGGAAGTTACCTGGTGAGTTGTCGAGACCTCAGAGCACAGTCGTTCACCATGAGCACCTGGCATGGCGCATTTGGAGCAAGAGCAGCGCAGCAGAAGACGGGTGCAAGGGCAGGGCAGCAGAAGACGGGTGCAAGAGTAGGGCAGGAGGCACAGATGTGAGTGAGGTCACATGGACGGAATAAGGCCTGCTTTTTAAGCGCCTCAAAAACAGATGCAAGGTCACTGTGATGTGAGCCCATGCCATGGAGCAGGGAGGGCTAGGTGCAGATGGGTGCGATAGAGTCAAGCACAAGGCGGCATGTGCCATGTGTGATGCAGTGGGCATGTGCCATGCGTGATGCAGTGGGCATGTGCCATGTGTGATGCAGTGGGCATGTGCCATGTGTGATGCAGTGGGCATGTGCCATGCGTGATGCAGTGGGCATGTGCCATGCGTGATGCAGTGGGCATGTGCCATGTGTGATGCAGTGGGCATGTGCCATGCGTGATGCAGTGGGCATGTGCCATGCGTGATGCAGTGGGCATGTGCCATGCGTGATGCAGTGGGCATGTGCCATGTGTGATGCAGTGGGCATGTGCCATGCGTGATGCAGTGGGCATGTGCCATGCGTGATGCAGTGGGCATGTGCCATGCCTGATGCAGTGGGCATGTGCCATGCGTGATGCAGTGGGCATGTGCCATGTGTGATGCAGTGGGCATGTGCCATGCGTGATGCAGTGGGCATGTGCCATGCGTGATGCAGTGGGCATGTGCCATGCGTGATGCAGTGGGCATGTGCCATGCGTGATGCAGTGGGCATGTGCCATGCGTGATGCAGTGGGCATGTGCCATGCGTGATGCAGTGGGCATGTGCCATGCGTGATGCAGTGGGCATGTGCCATGCGTGATGCAGTGGGCATGTGCCATGCGTGATGCAGTGGGCATGTGCCATGTGTGATGCAGTGGGCATGTGCCATGCGTGATGCAGTGGGCATGTGCCATGCGTGATGCAGTGGGCATGTGCCATGCGTGATGCAGTGGGCATGTGCCATGCGTGATGCAGTGGGCATGTGCCATGCGTGATGCAGTGGGCATGTGCCATGCGTGATGCAGTGGGCATGTGCCATGCGTGATGCAGTGGGCATGTGCTATGCGTGATGCAGTGGGCATGTGCCATGCGTGATGCAGTGGGCATGTGCCATGCGTGATGCAGTGGGCATGTGCCATGCGTGATGCAGTGGGCATGTGCCATGCGTGATGCAGTGGGCATGTGCCATGCGTGATGCAGTGGGCATGTGCCATGCGTGATGCAGTGGGCATGTGCCATGCGTGATGCAGTGGGCATGTGCCATGCGTGATGCAGTGGGCATGTGCCATGCGTGATGCAGTGGGCATGTGCCATGCGTGATGCAGTGGGCGTGAGAAGGAGCTGTTCCAGGGCCCAATCGTTTCCCATGGGCACCTGCCTTGGAACACACGGGTGTGACGAAGCCATGCCAGGAGGGTCGGATGTGAGGTCACCATGAGATGAGATGCACAACGGGCATCATAAACGGGTGTGAGGTCACCATGAGATGAGATGCACAACGGGCATCATAAACGGGTGTGAGGTCACCATGAGATGCACAATGGGCATCATAAACGGGTGTGAGGTCACCATGAGATGCACAACGGGCATCATAAACGGGTGTGAGGTCACCATGAGATGAGATGCACAACGGGCATCATAAACGGGTGTGAGGTCACCATGAGATGAGATGCACAACGGGCATCATAAACGGGTGTGAGGTCACCATGAGATGAGATGCACAACGGGCATCATAAACGGGTGTGAGGTCACCATGAGATGCACAACGGGCATCATAAACGTCTAAGTTTAGGTATAGCCTCCGGCTAGCGTTGAAGGTAGTAGATGCTAGGAGAGAATTCTGGTTTTCCAAGACTGATTTCACTCAAAACAGAGAAGTACACAAACTGAATGAAAACAAGACGATTTAAGCATTTCGAAATGTGGTGTGCGCCTCGCGTAACGCGTCATCCGCGTTTCAGCCCGAGTCGCACGCGTAACCGAATTCGGTAACCGTCACCGGAACCGAAACCGAGTTGTCTCATCCGCACCGAACACGGTTCGGTTGCGGTTGGACATTCTAGGCTTCGGAAATGTCTTCTCGACATTACCCGAACCCTATTCCGTTTTTCCTTGCTTTCCTCACGCTTTCCTCCTTAGCTCCTTAGTTTCCAGCCCCACCGTGCTAGCTATAGGTTCCCCACCGTAGATCGACATTTTCCACCGTTCCTAGTGTTATTCTACCGTCCCTAGGACAAGCGCGTAGGCCGGTAGACACTAGGGCAGTGGCGAACCACCCTAACAATCTCCCCTGTGGTTTGCCAGCTGTCACCCTCCTATGCTCCTGTGGTTACCATGTAACCAGCCTTGTTCCTGTCCTGCCTCACCCTTCCTTCAGGTGGTGTGTCGTCCCGTGATGCTGCTCCAATGCTCCCCTGCAAGTCCTTTAAGGTGCGCATGCCGACAAAGTACTTGCAATACTCGAAGTTTGCTTTTGGCAGCACCTTAGTTAGAAAATCCGCTGGCTGCTCCTGTGTCCCCACGTGCACGAAGGTAAATGCCTTCTTCTGTAGCTGCTCCCGTACCCAATGGTACCGCACGTTCATGTGTTTCGTGCGCCCATGCCAGTTGTCGTTTCGTGCGAGATCAATTGCAGACTTGCTGTCCGATTTGATTGTTGTAGGTCCTTCCACCTTGACCCCCATCTCTTGAAGTAGGCGCCTCAACCACACGCCCTCTTGGCATGCATAAAACAGCGCCATGTATTCAGACTCCGCGGTGGACAGAGCGACGTCGGTGAGCTTCTTAGCTTGCCACATGATTGCCGCTCCACCAAGGAGGTAGACATAGCCATAGGCTCCCCTCCCATCCTTCTTGTCTGATCCATGTGAGGCGTCAGCGTACCCCACTAGCTCTAGACTCTCCTCTCCTCCTTCAAACAGCAGCCCCTCATCATCCCGCTGCAAGAGGTATGTGATAGTCCTCTCCATTTCCTTCCAATTGCGTCCCTCAGGCTGTAACACCTTCTGTCCAAGAAAGCTTGCAGCATAGGCCACATCGACCCGCGTGCATGACACCGGGTACATGACTGAGCCTACCATGGATTGGTAAGCTTTCAGCGCTCTCTCCTTGCTGCCCCATGCCTCAATTTCTGCTCCCACATCGACCTCCTTGTCCGCTAGGCTGCTGAGAGGTGTTGTCACTGGTTTGGTCTTGCATTGCCCTCCAAACCTCTCCCGCAACCTCTGAAAATATTTTTTCTGGTATAGCAGCAACTTCTTCTCCTCCCTATTCCTCTCCAGGTTCATTCCAAGGAAGAGAGTGGTCCTTGGAATCCTCTTCACCTGAAATACAGCTGCGAGGTGAGTGCACACCTCCTCCACCTTCTCTTCCTTTGCTCCAGCCACTAGGATGTCATCCACGTAGAGGAGTAGGAACACCTTGTTCTCCCCCTCTCCCTTCCAGTAGAATGCACGGTCACATTGGCTCTTGATGAACCCCCCCTTTTCCAGCTGCGCGTCCATAGCTAGGTACCACTCCCGTGGACTTTGTTTCAGCCCATAAAGTGCTTTGATGAGCTTGCACTTTCTGTCCGTGCCGTCCTCACACCCCGGTGGCTGATTCATGTAGATAGTCTCCTTCAAAATGCCATAGAGAAAGGCATTTTTGATGTCCAGCTGCACCATGAAGTAGCCGCGTGCCGTCACCACTTTTAGCATGGTTCTTGCCGTTGTTAACTTGCTAACGGGTGCGTAGAGTTGGTCGTAGTCCTCTCCTTCCACCTGAGTGTAGCCTTTAGCCACAAGTCGTGCCTTGAAGCGCTCAAGTTGCCCCATATCTCCTGTTTTGATCTTGAAAATCCAGCGCACCCCCACTGGTTTCCTCCCCTCGGGCAGGTTCACAAGCTCCCATGTCCCCCTTTCAGCCAAGGTATCAAGTTCCTCCTGAATAGCAGCCCTCCATTCTTCTTTGTTGGGCCCGGACAGCGCCTCTTCAATGGTGAGAGGCTCGGTGGGCAGCTTGTAGCTTTCCACCTTCCCTTTTGAGAGTAATGCCGTTGCCGTGGTGGTGAGGAGGAGGTGAGTGTGAATGTCTTTGCAGCAGGTCAGAAGCATTTGGGCATACTTGGGATTGGGTTTCTTAACCCGTTTCCCTTTGCCCATCTCCTCATTCTCATTTTCAGCTCCACCTTTTTCTGCTGCTGCACTATCCTCCGCTCCTCGTGGCATTGTAGTTCCATCAATATCCCTTCCAAGAATGATCGCACCGTCCGCAAGTAGGTCTTCAATCTCTGCTACCGCCTTTTCATTGTTCCCCGTGTCAATGATTCGCCATGGGTCGGTGTAGTCCGTGCTAGCAGATTCAGCCACACTCTCTTCCACATCAGAAAATTCAGCTTCTTCCTCACCGGCTTCATCCGTTGAGTTGTCACCCGCCTCTTCTCCCTTATCCTTTTCTTCTTCACTCTCTTCCACAGCAGTTGAAGGTGAGGACATCTCCTGGACCTCCCACACCCAATCGAAACCCGGCGTAGTGTGGTCTTCGTAGTCGTCATTGTCACCGCTTCCATTGGCTGCCCCTATCCCCTCCTTCTCACTCCCATCAACCATTTCATCCACTGGAGTTGGTGATGCTGCCGCTTCATTTAAAACAGCTCCTTGTTTCCTTCCTTTCCACTCCACGTAGGTGTCACGCTCGTAGAAGGTGACATCTCTGGTCGCCGTTACTTTCCCGGTCTCCACGTCGCGTATCACCCACCCTTTGCTTTCAGGGCAGATTCCCAAGTGAATCCCCCACTTGGTCCTTGGAAGAAGCTTGTGATCGGGTCCCGCCGGCTCCCGGTATTGCGTCATGCAGCCCCAAACACGTAAGAACTCCAGATTCGGCTTCCTCTTGTAGAACGCTTCGTGAGGGGTAATATCCGCCGCTAGTCCCTTTGTCGGTAAACGGTTTTTCAGCCAACATGCCATGCCTAGCGCATCTCCCCAGTAGTGAAGAGGCAGGTTGCTATCCGCGAGCAAGCTCCTCACACCCTCCAGCAGTGATCGGTTCACCCGCTCCGCAATGCTATTGTGTTGGGGGGTGTACGGGATGGTGAGCTGCCTCCGAATCCCTTTTGATTTCAGGTACGTGTTGAACTCGGTGTTAACGAATTCTCCCCCGTTGTCCGTGCGCAACACCTTCAGCTTCTTGCCGCTTTGCCTTTCCGCTTCCGCCTGCCAATCAAGAAAGCTCGAGTAGACGTCAGACTTTTTCTTAATTTCAGTCACCCACGTGTGACGTGTGCCAAGGTCGGTGAAGGTAACAAAATATTTGCTGCCATGTCGTGAAGCCACCCGCATCGGTCCACAGACGTCGGCTGCCACAATAGCCAACGTCTCGTACGGCTCACGAGCTCCATGATTCGAGTGTGACCAGCGTGCCCCATCCTCCGATGTAGCAGGTTAACGTCCACCGTGCTCACTGCTGCAGCCATAGGAAGCGCCTGCTGCTGCAACTCCTTGATCGGCACCTTTTCCAGCTTGGTGCGGAGCTCCTCTCGTGCTACCTTTCCCGCTTCCGGTTCAGCCAGGTACGTGGCCTTCTCCCCACTCTGTTTCTCGTGCAGCTTCATCTCGTACAACCCCTGCTTGCGTGATCCCTCCGCTATCACCTTCCAATCCGAACCGAACACCCATATGCTGCCCTTGTCACTGAAAGTCTTGGACCCACCGCTGTCCAACTGCGATTGGCTTATCAGGTTGAGTGTGAGCTTGTCCACCAGCAGCACGTTGTCCAGCTTCACCTCACCATAAGCACTTTGCAGCACTAGGTCTCCTTCACCTTTCACAGGAAGTTTTCCCTCGTCACCCAACAGCACGTACGAGATCGGTGATGCTCTGAAATTTTGCAGCCACTCCTTCCGACTGGTCATGTGTTGGGTACATCCACTGTCCATGTACCACTCCTTCCCTTTGAGGCCCTTTGCTAGCAGGCATGCTCCGGATGCTCGTGCCACATTGGCCTTGTGGGCTCCCCCGAGGATGACGTCGTCGTCTCTGGTTTCTGCTTCGGTGGCGTTGATCTTCGCAGGTATGTGTTTGTTTTGCTGCTGCTGCCCTCCCCTGAAGCTCTTGCTCATCGGGTTGCTGTAGCAGTCGATTGCCTTGTGACCAAATTTCCCGCAGTGGTTGCAATTTCCAGCAAATCCGCCTCTCGGTCGTTGTCCTCCTCCGCTTGTTCCCTCGTTGGCAGATTGCCTAACTGCTGCCGTCCCTTTGAAATTCTTGCTTCTTGGGTTGGAGTAACACTCTGCAGCCTTGTGCCCTTTCTTCCCACAGTGGAAGCAGGCTCCGAATGCTTTTCCTGCCCCGGTTGCATTCAACATTGCAGGTTTTTCATTGCTGAAGTTGTCCGGCAGCGCCTCCCTTCGTTCTTCCTCCGCACGTACAAGCGCCACGTCTTGAAGGGACTCCACTAAGTCCGTCATGTCCGTCGGGCGTCGGCAGGCCAGCATCCTCTTCTCTGCTGCCCATGTTTTCGGTAGGCCGCCAATGATGTAGCTCATCATTTGCTTCTCCGATTCGGGCACTCCCATAGCCGTCAAGTCGTCGTTGTAGCCTTTGGCACGTCCCACGTAGTCCACCACCGTCTCGGTAGGTTCCATGGCCAGCAGTATGAGTTTCGTCCTCACCGCTGTCATTTTTGTTTCGCTTTTCCCGAGGTACACTCGTTCCATGTACGCCCACGCCTTCTCTGCTGCGTTGTCCTCCTCAGAAAACGGGTCGAGTCGTGCTGCGATGGAATCCGAGACCGAGTGGCAGAGTTGGAAGAAAGCTTGTTGGCTTCTCTTCTTGAACGCTTTTTTCTCTTGTGCGGTTGCAGGTGCAGGTCCATCGTCCTCCGTCGCTGCCTCTGGGTTGTAGAAGTGCCACAAATCTACCTCCCGAGCGCGCCTCATGAACTTCAGTCGCCATGTCCCGAAGTTCTCACCGTTGAAGCGTTGAGCTTCACTTAGGCCAATCGTCGGTTTGGCCACAATCTGCCCCTTGGCAAGGGCATCGAGTAGACTCTGCAGCTGCGCACCGTCAGTGTTCACTGAAGACCCTGAACTGGTCTCTCCATCTCCTTTCCCCATGTCGTTGAATATTCGCCCTCTCCAATTACTCTAAAAAAATATAACGCCTCCAACGCTCTTATAATGAGGCTCGTCGTGACGACAACCAAGCTCTGATACCAGATCTAAGTTTAGGTATAGCCTCCGGCTAGCGTTGAAGGTAGTAGATGCTAGGAGAGAATTCTGGTTTTCCAAGACTGATTTCACTCAAAACAGAGAAGTCCACAAACTGAATGAAAACAAGACAATTTAAGCATTTCGAAATGTGGTGTGCGCCTCGCGTAACGCGTCATCCGCGTTTCAGCCCGAGTCGCACGCGTAACCGAATTCGGTAACCGTCACCGGAACCGAAACCGAGTTGTCTCATCCGCACCGAACACGGTTCGGTTGCGGTTGGACATTCTAGGCTTCGGAAATGTCTTCTCGACATTACCCGAACCCTATTCCGTTTTTCCTTGCTTTCCTCACGCTTTCCTCCTTAGCTCCTTAGTTTCCAGCCCCACCGTGCTAGCTATAGGTTCCCCACCGTAGATCGACATTTTCCACCGTTCCTAGTGTTATTCTACCGTCCCTAGGACAAGCGCGTAGGCCGGTAGACACTAGGGCAGTGGCGAACCACCCTAACAAAACGGGTGTGAGGTCACCATGAGATGCACAACGGGCATCATAAACGGGTGTGAGGTCACCATGAGATGCACAACGGGCATCATAAACGGGTGTGAGGCAGAGCTACATCTGTGCTGGGTGAGTGACAGAGTCCCCCCCCCACCCCCCACCTCTTCCTCCCACCCACACACCCACCTACCCAGGCATACCTCCACGTGTCATAGAGCACTGGTTCTTTCTTTGATGTCCATTAAGCCTGCTCTCAGGTCGGGGCAACGGTTGCTGGCATAGGCATGTGCACACACACCTCGTGTCCCCCCCCCTCCCTCCTCTCTGTCACTCACACACACACACCCACCTGCGCATAGCTCCATGTCAAAGAACGCAGGCCCTTTGATGTCAGTGATGCCCATGACACCCCGTGCCCCCAAACCCCCCCCCCCCCCCCCCCCCCCCCCCCCCCCCCCCCTTCTCTCTCACTCACACACACACCCACCCACCTGTGCATAGCTCCACGTGTCATACAGCGCTGCCCCCCTGATGTCCGTGATGTCCATGATGCCCGCCCTCAGGTACGGCCTCAGAGCTGCCATGACGTCATCATCCATGGCCCCTGCATCGTACATGCGCAGATACTGGGACGCATGGATGGAGGCATGGTGGCATGTGGGCATGGGGACATGGGGACATGGATGGAAGCATGGAGGCATGAAACATTTTCAGTACAGCTACTGCCAAGTTGCCAACCATCGTCCACACATGCGCTGCGCAGGTACTGGGGGGCACGGGGCCATGAAACATATTTAATACAGCTATTGCCAACCATCGTCCACACATGCGCATGTACTGGGGGGCACGGGGCCATGAAACATATTTAATACAGCTATTGCCAACCATCGTCCACACATGCGCATGTACTGGGGGGCACGGGGCCATGAAACATATTTAATACAGCTATTGCCAACCATCGTCCACACATGCGCATGTACTGGGGGGCACGGGGCCATGAAACATATTTAATACAGCTATTGCCAACCATCGTCCACACATGCGCATGTACTGGGGGGCATGGGGGCATGTGCAGACATTAACGTCCCTCATTCGTACATCTATGTCCCCCGCATCGTACATGCGCAGGTACTGGGGAACATGGATGGAGGCATGGTGGAATCGGGCCATGGAGGCATGAATGCACGGGGTCATGGGGTCATGGAGGCAAGGAGGCATTTCAGACACATCACATCCACATCATGCAAGGATTGGTGCAACTGGTCATGTGCACACACACAAACACACGCATGCATGCATGCATGCACTCTCACACACTCACATGCATGCACTCTCACACACTCACATCCCCGCCATGCAGCGAGCGGTGGAATTCACTCCACTCCAGCAGAGCAGGCGCTGCGTGTCAATCAGTCGCCCCAAACCCGAACATGGGCGCGCAGCAAGCAGTAGGTCAGTTGCGCTCAAACACCCTTGCACACTCGTGCACTCTCATCTCATCCACCACGTTATGCACAGAGCGGTGGAATTCACTCCACTGCGGCAGCCTCTGCTTGTGACTCGTGCACATGCAGGCAGTCATATGATTAGTATGTGCATGCCATGTGCACACGTGCATGCACTCATATCCATGCCATGCACGGATCGGTGGAACTCGATCCACTCCAGCAGCCGTTGCAAGCCACCCGATCAATCACGGATATCTGCTGCTCATGTGCATGTCATATCATGCCATGTGTCTGTCACCATGTGCGCACATGCTCACTCACATCCACACCGTAAACGGATCTATGAAACTCGATCCACTCCAGCAGCCGTTGCGAGCCACCCGATCAATCACGGATATCTGCTGCTCATGTGCATGTCATATCATGCCATGTGTCTGTCACCATGTGCGCACATGCTCACTCACATCCACACCGTAAACGGATCTATGAAACTCGATCCACTCCAGCAGCCGTTGCGAGCCACCCGATCAATCACGGATATCTGCTGCTCATGTGCATGTCATATCATGCCATGTGTCTGTCACCATGTGCGCACATGCTCACTCACATCCACACCGTGAACGGATCTATGAAACTCGATCCACTCCAGCAGCCGCTGCGTGTCAATGGCGCCGAACATGCAGTCATCATGTGCATGCCATGCACACACATGCTCACTCACATCCACACCGTGCACCGATCGGTGGAATTCAATCCACTCCAGCAGCCGCTGCGTGTCGATCGCCCCGAACATGGGCGCGGAGCAGTACGTCAGGTTGCGCTCAAACACCCGCACGTCCTCCCGAACCTCCGGCGGAGGCTCGGGCGTGCCGGGGCTCTCCTCGTAGACCACCACGTCCTGCTGGTCCACCGCCATCTTGAGTGTGCCGCCCACCCTGGGAGGGGTGATTGAGTGGAGGAAGACGGAATACACACACAGAGACTGCTCGTATCGTGCATGCAATTCCTGCAACCCGCATGCTCCACACCAGCTCACTGTGGGGGCTCTCCTTGTAGACCACCACGTCCTGCTGATCCACCGCCATCTTGAGCGTGCCGCCCACCCTGGGAGGGGAGAGAGATAGATAAATGGAGATGAAATGAAGGGAGAGAGTGGCAATACCACATTTGGGGACCGTACTTCAAAAATGTGCTCACACTCGCCTGCCCTGCAACACCACAGCCTGCTGATCCCGTTGAGGTGTGCCATGCCGTCGCTGCTATCTTGAGTGTGCCATGCCGTCGCTGCTATCTTGAGTGTGCCATGCCGTCGCTGCTATCTTGAGTGTGCCACGCGCTCTGGTGAGGTGAGGGTAAGTTGAGAGGAACGGACAGTGGTACTGCCGTGGAGAGCAGAGGCAGTATCACACAACTATGCAAGCCACAGTAGAGCTGGACACCCGTGTGGGCCGCGTGGGCTAGGTGGGGTGCGTGGCAGAACATTTGGTACGTCCCTCCCTCATCTCTGACATGCAGGTCGCATTCAAAACTTCAGGATACACTCGTAGGCGCGTGCTCCCCTGTGCATGGTGCTCCCCTGTGCATGGTGCTCCCCTGTGCATGGTGCTCCCCTGTGCATGGTGCTGCTCTGTGCCGTGCATGGTGCTGCTCTGTGCCGTGCATGGTGCTGCTCTGTGCCGTGCATGGTGCTCTGTGCCGTGCATGGTGCTGCTCTGTGCCGTGCATGGTGCTGCTCTGTGCCGTGCATGGTGCTGCTCTGTGCCGTGCATGGTGCTGCTCTGTGCCATGCATGGTGCTCTGTGCCGTGCATGGTGCTGCTCTGTGCCGTGCATGGTGCTCTGTGCCGTGCATGGTGCTGCTCTGGTGCTCTGTGCCGTGCATGGTGCTCTGTGCCGTGCATGGTGCGGCAGTGTGCGTCCAGAGAAAACCCTCTGTCTTACATGGAGCTGACTGGGCGCTGCAGGTCGCAGTACAGCAACACACACTCGTACGCGCGTGCATGGTGCTCCCCTGGGAACTTCACTGAGATTGCGCCATCTGTCCACTGCCCATTGGCTGACTCCCACCTGTGGGGAAGAGGGGGCGGGGAAAAGGGGGGTTGGAAGCGGGGGAGGAGGAGGAGAGGGGGAGGAGTAGGAAGGGGAGAAGAGGAGGAGGAGGAGGAGGAGGAGGAGGAGGAGGAGGAGGAGGAGGAGGAGGAGGAGGAGGAGGAGGAGGAGAAGGAGACAGAGAGGGCGGAGAGAAGGGAGGGGATGGAAGGGACGACGAGTTTGGACCTTAGGTTAGAATGGAGAGAGTTGTCTGGTCCGGAGACAGTGACGTGATGCATTGCTCTGCGTGCCATGTATTTACACTGCGATAAAACTTTCAGGAGGATTCTACTCGGACAGACAGACAGACATACGCATGCATGCGGGCATGGATACACACACGTCACACGTGACACTCGTGCACAGGAGCAGTGCCATGGAGGGATGACGTCATGGTGGGCATGAGCAAAAGTTGGAGCTGTTGCCTCGGGTCCCGCATGGTGGCATGGGCATGGGCCTGGCCTGGCTGGTCTGAGCGGCTGCAGCCATGCATGCTTGTTATATGCCTACCCGCCTCGCCAGCCGTGATGACGTGATGATACATGATGCATGGGGACCCATCATGAGATGAAGACTCATCACGCAACAAGCTGAGCATCATAGAGGAGAAGCATGCATGGGTGCCTGCCTGCTTGCTTGCTTTGCTTGCATGTTTGTATGCCCGCCCTGCCCGCCTCACCAGCAGTGCTGGGCAGTGATGACGTCATGGTGTGTGAGAGGCATGAGGCCCATGGCAACCACGCGGAGGGGAGTGATGCGGTACGCGCTGAACTGAATGAAGCCCTCCTTGCTGCTGCTGCCGTCGAAGCTGTGCGGGGAGAGTGAATGCGTGCATAGGGCAGAGACATGGAAGCATGCACAGCACAGGTATAGGACAAAGACTTTTGAGTCGACTCAAAATGCAGAGACTGGGAGGGAGTAACGCGACAGGCGCTGAACTGAATGAAACCCTCCGTTCTGCTGCTGGCGTCGCAGCTGCAAGACGTGAGAGAGCCACATTGCGTCTGCTGATGCGGTAAATGCTGACTTGACTGAAGCCCTGCTGCTGCTGCTGCTTCTGCCGTTGAAGCTGGCATGGAGGAAGCAATACATCGTGCAAGTGTGCGTGCCTGCATGTTGACCCAGAAAGTTCCACCACTCACTTTTGTTTCCGCATTCCCGAGCTTGGCTGGAGTTGATCAGTCGAGGTTTGAGTCGACTCAAAACTCGGCTGGAGTGATCCTACACGCCATTCCCGTCTGATGGGCCTTTCGTTTTCTCTGGATTAACTTACAAGGCCCGCCACTCACTTTTGCTTCCGCATCTCCAGCATTTTAAGCTCGGCCGGGGTGAGCTTGTGCGCGGCTGCCCGCGGATGCCGCCTCCCCTCGCCGCCGCTCCCTCCCCTCTCCCTCCCGCGACTCCCGCCGCCCAAGCCGCCGCTGCCGCCTTTCCCCCCGCGCGAGAGCAGCGGCACGGAGGGCGCTTCGTCGAGCAGAACGAAGCAGATGAAGATGTTACTCACGACGACGACGAACAGCACCATCGTCGTCGTCGATATTCGCCGCGGCAGGATCACGAAAGCCATGCCGGGAAAAAGGCAAATGTGCTGGTGAAGCTGCGAGATTGTGCAATGCTGGTGCGAACGAGGTGTTTGCAAGACGTGCGTGGCTAATGCTAAGGGACGGAAACCCTAAAATGTTAACAGCAACGACCTTAGCGCTCCTCCAGTGTCCAGAATCTGCTTCTCCTACAAGTCCCCTACCCTACCTAATCCAGTCCTCTCGCAATACATGCAAGAGCACGACTCGGCTGTTAGTGGTTGCATTTAGTTCAGACTTGGGTATCTTATTGTGCAACTCTTTATATTCATGATAAAAGCACATTCACTATATATATTATGTGGTAGAGTTTGTTTTTAGTAACTCTAGCAAGATTTCCAACCTAGAATGTTCTCATCCAGTTGGATATACTACTTGGAGATGGGATTTCTCTGCCCGCATGGAACTCTAATCTGCAGAAAATTTGACTAGTCAGGATTGTATCTTTGAGCATTTTCCATGAAAAATCAGCTTGAACATAGCAGAATGTCAGATCAGAATGTCTGGCATGTTAAAAGTATCTGTGCAGGAATGGTGAATGACTAGCAACAGGGAGATACATGTAGTAAACCCTAACTGGGGTTGTACTCTATACTGAGCACCTCACTGTAGCCTAGCAAAACTAAGGGCACATTCCGCTCAGGACATGTCACAAAAGAAAGTGTCACAAACGTATTTGTGACTGATTGTGACCTCCGAAATCATATTTGTGACTAATTGTGTATGGCCGAAAATAATGAATAGCAAGTTTCCAACCATTCCTGGTAAGACATCTGGCTCGATCGTGACTGTTCCTGGTTCGAAGCATCACAATTTGTCATGATTTTGCTATCGGTGTATCACAATTAGTCACGAACATTATTTTCGGAGTACCACGATTAGTCACAAATAATGTTTGTGACACTTTCTTTTGTGACATGTCCTGAGCGGAATGTACCCTAAGAACATATAACAATGTTTTGACACACCAAGAAGCGTCGGTGTGTCCTGTGAGTACCACTGAACCCTGCCCTCCAAGCACGAGCCCCATGCCCGATGTACTGCACAATTAACGCAGTACCCTCTTCGCAGCATCCCAGTGCACCTTTCGGTGTCTACTGGGAGCCACGTAGCGAGCCAGGAGGCTGAGAGGTTACGCGAGGTCAGGTCGGATGCAGGTCATCAGGTACATGAGGCAAGCCACAAGCTCTGGATACGGACCACTCGGCTCTACGGACTCGTCCGAAGGTGGAGCTGAGAGCGAGTGGCCTGTAGGCAGAGGAGTGGGCTGTGGCGAGGAATACTGGAAGCTGAAGCGCTGAAGGACCTGGTGCACCATGTGTGACTGAGTCAGGGTGATGGTGCGCCGTGCTCTGTCCCGAGTGATCTGCAAGCCAAGAAAGCTCCGCAGCTCACCCAAGTCAGTGCAGGTGTGTCTCTCCTACAGCTCTGCCTTCACTAGGGCCAGCGCCGCAGTGTCAGCAGTAGCAAAAACCAAGTCGTCGACGTACACGAGAACGTAGAACAGCGGCAGAGAAGTGTCGGTGCGCAAAAACAACGACGGGTCAGCAGAGGAAGGAGCAAACCCAAGAGTCGCAAGTGTCGTCCTCAGTGTGTCATGCCAATCGTGGGGCGCCTGGCGGAGACCGTAGACAGGCCGCCGGAGGCTCCACTGGGTACCCGCAGGAAACGACCCAGTGAAGCTAGGTGGGCGGCGCAACCAGATCTCTTCGTGAAGGCTGCCGTGCAAGAAAGCGGTGGAGAAGTCGAGGGAGTGCAGCTCGTAGTCACGATGTGCTGCAACGTGCAGCAACATCATCTTCGGGGTGGGGGAGAAGGTTTGGAAGAAGTCGACCCCCTGTCGCTGACTGAAGCCTCGAGCAACGTAACGCGCCTTGAAGGCAGGCGGAGAACCAGGCGGCCGCTTCACTCTGAAAATCCACATGCCATCGACTATGTTCGCCCCAGGAGGAGGAACCTCGTCGACGTAGGTGCCTGTGGACTTCCAGGAAGCCATCTCTGCGTCCATGACTGTCTGCCACTGAGAGGAGTACTCACCCGCGATCGCCTCAGCGTAAGAGCGGGGTAGGGATGTCAAGTGCATCCGGGTCTCCCTCAGGGCAAAGCAGCATGGATGCGAAACGAGGTAAAGCGGCCGCACGACACTCAAGCTCAAACTGCCTGTCCTCAAGGACGTCACTGCTAAGGGCAGGCTCACCCCCGACGGACGGAGGACAGATAGACTCAGACTCAGTAACAAGACTCGCGACGTAGTCAAGACTACTCGTAGCAGCAAAGTCGACTAGCTCAGTGACTAGGGAAAACGCAGCAGTAGACTCAAAGTCAGGGTCAGTGACGACAGTAGCGAGGAGACGAGTGACAGTAGGACTTACAGCACGAGCAAGGTCGGACTCAGGGTCAGGCACGTCAGGAAGAGAGGACGCCGGAGGAGACGGCAGGGCAACACGCTGTGGAACAGAGGAAGTACGAAGTGCCATAACGTGAGTGCCTGGGACAGGAGGAGGACGAGGACGGGCGACACGACGAGCACGAACAGGTGTGGAGGCACGAGACGCAGGCTCACGACGCTCAGTCAAGGAGTCTGGCAGCTCAGTGTAGGGAGAAGGAGCAGGCAGTGGGGAGCCAGGTGGCAACTGTGACTGTGACGGGCCAGACGGTGGACACAGGAGAGGTGGAGTGAGGCCAGTGGAAGACGGGACACTAAGAACCTGGCGAAGGGCCGAGTCAGGCGGTGGCAGGGACGGCTGCTGCTGCGGGTAGAAAAACGGTCGGCGCGGCGCAGTACCCGTACCGTTTGTAGCTCTTGCACCTTCAGTGCCTCCAGCTCCAGCACCTCCAGTAGCCCCAGCACCAGCAGTACCACTAGCTCTGACAGCTCTAGCACCTCTAGCACGAGCACCTCCAGGACTAGTAGCTCCAGCACCTCCTGTACCTCCATTACCTCCAGCTCTAGGGCCTCCAGCACCAGCAGCACCTCCAGCACCTCCAGCACCTCCAGCACCAGCAGCACCACCAGCTCCGGCAGCTCCAGCACCTCTAGTACGAGCACCTTCAGGACCAGCAGCTCCAACACCTCCAGGACCTCCAGTACCTCCAGCTCCAGCTCCTCTGGCACCAGCAGCACCTCCAACACCTCCAGCACCTCCAGAACCAGCAGCTCCAGCACCTGCAGCACCTCCAGCAGTACCTCCAGCACCAGCAGATCCAGTGTCTAGGAAACTCCAAGCTCCATCACCAGAGCGGCCTCGCCGAACTACCCACTCACGAAGCTGCTGCGGTGAGGGCGTCTCGAGTCGACTAGGCGGCTGCTGCTGTCCAACGCCAGGACCTGTAGTAGGAGCACCCACGGCCCCACCACCACTAGGACTCGCAGCACCCCCGGAGTCAGCACCCCCAGAACCCTCACCCCCAGTCTCAGCACCCCCAGGACCAGCACCCCCAGTCTCAGCAACTCCACTCTCAGCACCCCCAGTCTCAGCACCTCCAGAACCCTCACCCCCAGTGTCACCACCCCCAGCAGCATCAGTGTCCACAGCTACAGGCTGCAGAGGCGGCGAAGACGGTCAAGGCGGAAAACCAGGAGGGGTCTCCAAGCGTGGAGAGCGGCGAGTGGCCGCCGTGTCGTCAGCACCGGAGTCACCCCCCTCACCGGGGCCAGAGGAGTCAGAAGAGATCTCCAGAGGCTCAACCAAGGGGGGTGGGTCTACCTGAGACAGACTTGAGGGATCAGGACCCTGTGGGGGGAGGGGGTCTACCGGGGGGGGGGAACTGGTACCAGGAAGAGAGGCACCAGGGGGACCGGGTGGGACGCGTGCGGGTGGAGCCTGTAGAAACAGACAGACTCGTCAAAGGTGACGTCCTGGGAGGACAGGACTCGACGCGAGCGAGGGTAGTAAAACTGCCGCAGCGGGGCGTCAGTGGGGAAGCCCAGGAAGGCGCAACGGAGAGTGCGAGGAGAGAGCTTGCTCATGGTGGTATCGCGAACAAGGGAGAGCGCGCCCCAGACCTGAAACGCCGACGCATCGCCAACCTTTCCCGTCCAACGGAGTGTGGGCGAGGTCTCTGGCAAAGAGACACGGGGCCAGAGGTTGAGCTGATGCGCAGCGTATCAGACCGCAAACGGCCACAGAAAATGGGGAGCAGCCGCATGGATCATGGAGGTACGAGCAACCTCCATGATCAAGCCAATGCGACGCTCAGCAATCCCATTCTGCTGCGGAGAGGCCGGAAGCGTGAACGACTGGACGATGCCCTCGTCTCGACAGAACTCTGCAAGGAGGCCGGAACACACCGCCCCTGTCAGAGTGCAGACGCAGGACTGGAAGGTCCCGCCGAAACCGCTCTTGCAACTGGCGACGAGTAGCGCGGATCTAGGGGATCAAAACACTTCGGACGTCCGCCTTGCTGCGCAAGGGGAAGACCGTGGTGTAGCGTGTGTAGTCGTCAACGACCAGCAGGAAGTAGCGCTCCTGGTCCGTCCCACAGACGGGGGCCAGGCCCCACACGTCCATGTGGAGAGTCTGCAGAGGAGCAGTGGTCGGAGGAAACGAGGAGGAGTGAGGAGCGGCGCACTGCCGCCCCTCGACGCAGGGAAGGCACGGCGGGGCAAGCGAGCGCGGGAGGGGGGGCAGGGACTTGGGAAGGCCAGAGACAAGGAGACGGGAGTGCATGCTGCTGAGACGCGGCAGAGAGGGGTGACCGAGCCGGTGGTGCCAGAGGAGAGTATGGTGGGAGAGTACCTGACACGAGCACGACGCAGCAAACTGACCAGACGCAGACACCTGACTCGACGCAGCCACCTGACCTGACGCAGCCGCTTGTGCAGACGCAGTGGTCAGGGTGTACAGACTGGACCCAGGCTGCCGAGTGAACGTAGGAAGATGACGTCCAGTTCGGGAGCACGTACAGATCGCCACACGCTGCCCTCCTGGAGTAAAGGTGTCAACCCATGCATCCTGAAGAGCTGCGTTGCTCACCAAGTTCGTCGAGAACGTGGGGAGGTGGAGACCTGACAGAGAACCGGAGAGGACTGCTGGACACGGAAGGACAGTGGAGGCTCGTGCAACGACGGGCCCCCCCAGAGGGGTCAGCCAGTGAGACTGGGACCAGTGCAGCGAGTGGTGTGACTGTGGTGCAATCATGAAAGAAGCAACGAGACGCGCCAGAGTCAAGTGTGAAAGTGTGCAGGGCCTCAGCTGAGGCAGCAGATTCACTAGTGGCAGACTCACTAGCACCTGTGGCAGCAGTCTGACTGGCACCTAGAGCGGCAACAGACTCACTAGCACCTAGAGCAGCAGCACCGACACTACCAGAGACGCGTCGCTGAGAAAACCACTCCCGAGGCTGCTGTGGCGAGAGTCTCTGGGCTACGAGACTGCCGCTGCAGTCGAGAACCTCCAGGAAGATATCCTCCACCACCAGGACGGCCTCGCTGAATAACCCACTCACGAAGCTGCTGAGGCGATAGAGTATCCGGGTGAGGCAGCTGGTGTTGTCTACCGACCGACGCTGCTACGGCCGTGATAGTGGCCATGACAGGCAGTGACAGTTAGTAGCAACGGCGCAAGGGCGTCAGAAGCGAGTGTTGTAGCTGCAGTTGTAGCAGTAGCGGTAGTTGCTGTACTGGCTGCAGGGCAGGGCAAGGTATTGCAGTGCGCGGGGTGCAAGGCAGGGCAGCATGCGGGCTGCAGGGCAGGGCAGCGCACGGGCTGCAGGGCAGGGCAGCGCGCGGTCTGCAGGGCAGGGCGGCGCACGGGCTGCAGGGCAGGGCAACGCGCGGGCTGCAGGGCAGGGCGGAGCGCGGGCTGCAGGGCAGAGTGGCGCGCGGGCTGCAGGGCAGGGCAACGCGCGGGCAGAGCACAGAGCAGGGCAGCGCGCAGCAAGCAGGGCAGCGCACGGCAAGCAGGGCAGCTCGCGGCGAGCAGGGTAGTGCGCAGCGAGCAGGGCAGCGCGCGGTGAGCAGGGCAGCGCACGACGGCAGCAGCTTCTGGGGCAGTACGTACGGTTAGTGGGCCCTAAAGGAGCGGTCCTACGGAGGGACCTGCTCTGAAACCATGTTAGAAGTATCTGTGCAGGAATGGTGAATGACCAGCAACAGGGAGATACAAGTAGTAAACCCTAACTGGGGGTTGTACTCTATACTGAGCACCTCACTGTAGCCTAGCAGAACTAAGAACATATAACTATGTTTTGACATGGCACTACGGCACTTTCTGCTGTAGCCAGTCTATATGGGCAGCATAATCAGACAAAGTAGTTTCAAGAGTCCAGTGCGGTGAGGTTTGGTGCAAGCCGGAGTCAAAGTAAGATGCAGCACAATAGGAGGATGGGGTTGACTCGCTGGGCTGGAGCCAAGATCGGGCTTGGTGTAACACTGCATATACAGCAGGCCAGTTAGCGTGGTTTCAATAGGATAGGATGCAGTGAGGTGGAGGGAGGGGGGCAAGAGGGTGGGGAAATCGAGTGAGGAGGCATACAAAGATACCGTATAGAGTTTGGGTTGTTGAAACTACCCACCGAGGATTTGTAGATTCTGGTTCGATGTTGAGAAATGGCACAATGATCAAACTGTAACTTGTGTCCTACAAGAGTAATTGGCAAAGGAATGAACCATATGTGAATTACAGGTGAACCATATGTGAACCACAGGTGAATTACATGTGAGCAACAGGTGAAACTTATGTGTGTATTACAGGTGAACCATACGTGTGAATTTTAGGTGAACCATATGTGAACCACATGTGAACCAGGGGTGACATTGATGAAGCATCGATGAATTAAAGCAGAATCAAAGTAGTCAGAGATACATAATGACAAGAGATGCGACAACAGGAAGTGAGGAGTTTCATGAACACCGCGTTTATAAGCATTTCGACATTTCAGAAAGATTGCGAGAAGCATGTTCAGATTCCTGGCTTGAAAACAGTAAGCCCTCTTGGGATGAAGGATCGTACCTTCATCTTGTCCCACCAATCGTTCGAGCGAACATAAATGTTTGTCGCCAGCGAGCGTCCAGGCTGGTGCCTCACCATTCCGCTTCCAAGTCAAGCGGTCGCCTTCAATCACCCGTGTCTTAATGTGCCATATGCCCATCAGAACAAAGTGGTGAGATGGTGGTGCGGTTTGTGGTGGTACGTCCAATGGTGATATGGCAGGTTGTGACATGGCAGGTGGTGACATGGAAGGTGGTGGCGTAGCAGGTGTTGACGTGGCAGGTGGTGACGTGACAGGTGGTGACGTGGCAGGTGGTGACGTGGCAGGTTGTGACGTGGCAGCTGGTGGCACGGCTGGTTCTGTCCAAGTCGAGGAAGAGGGGGAAGGAAGCATGGCCAGATCCAGGTCGAGGTGTGGGTGCGAGGCCAGCGCAGCAGACACCCTGGGGCGCTGCCAATCACTGCGGTTGAAGCTATGCGCTCAAAGGCAGTCTATGCGCTCAAAGGCAGTCCGAGTGGCGTCCTGATGGATGGGGTGGGGAAGGAGTCGAGTGTGGGAGAGAGAAAGGTGAATACGTTTACGACAGGTCAATGCGGAGACCTTGACTTTCAAGCTGAATCCTTCATGAATCATTCCAATTGCAATGTGTGTACCAGGACCATATCTTCTCATCTGCATGTCTAGTGCATGTTACGGGAAGGAACAGCGAACATAGGAGCAGCAATGCTAGTGCTATCAGAAAAAGGAATAGCAGAAATATGCATGAGAAAGAAGGAGCAGCAAACATCGTAGGAGTTGGAATTAGGAACAACAAACATAGGAGCACAAAGCATAGAAGCAGTAAGAATAGGAGCAAACACATAGGAGCAACAAGAATAGGAGCAGCATAAGAGCGGCATAGGAGCAGTGGAAACAATTTCAACAGAAATAGGAGCTGCAACATTAGGATCAGTATTTACAGGAGCGCCAAGAATATGAGCAACAACCTTAGGAGCAGCGAAAATAGGAGCAACAAGTCTATTGCCTCTTCACCCCTTCACCCCTTACCCCTTCACCATTTCAACCCTTCACCCCTTTGCCCCTTCACCCATTAGCCCCTTCACCCCTTCACCCCTCACCCCCCTTAGCACTTAGAGACCTCATCCTCACCCTACCCCTCACCCTCACCCCTCATCCCCCCTCCCTTGACAACACGTCGAGTGCACAAACTGCGAATTCCACCATTACAACCTTCACCCTTCACCCATTGACACCTTCACCCCTACGTTGATTCACCTCTGCATCCTGGATACGCACGTCGAGCGAGCAGATGCGGGACTCCTTGTGAAGGAAGACGCCCAGATCCACAGCCTTGGTGGGGCGGGCGACGACAACGAGTGCATAGCGGATCGCGTTGCACTTGACCTGGCAGTTTGGAAGAAGGGAGTGAAACGAACTAAGGGGCAGAGGCAAAGGGGATGTGGAGTGGAGCGGAGAGAGCGGCTGGGAGGGAGAGAGATGCGATGGAAATGTGGAGTGCCAGGGAGGGAGACGAAAAGGAAGCGACTAATGTGGTAAGCGGGCGAAAGTTGAGATGGGCCCGTACAACAGCAGCCACAGCAGCAACAGTGGGTGCACTTGCAAGGACAGCAGCAACAACAGTTTCAGCACTGGGGACCTGATGGTCCGGGGAGTGTCGGCCGCAGCAGTGGCCCTTCCAGCTAGGGGCCTCGTCGCAGTGGCCACGACGTTGGGCCCTGCCAGTACTAGATATTGACTGGTCCTGGTGCTGGCACCAATTGCAAACGCCCCGACCACTGTGCGTAGTGCTACTTCAGTCGTCTCGACGGCCTCTTTCGCCACCGTTTCGGGCCTCGGGTGGTTCTCCCATTTGGACCCTCTCTGCTGAGCCGTGGTTACCGTGTGTTTGATATATCTATAGATGGTGTTGCTTCTGCCATGTATGCTGTTGATTATGGTGACGCCGGATAAGTTTGCTCGCGTGTACCTAAATTAGGATCCCTGCATGTATAGGATCTTTGACTGTTTCTAGTGTAGGTGCTTCTGTTGCTGCTAGGCATGCATAGGCATGCACCGACAGGGTGGGGTAGTAGGGAAAAATGTGATGAGAACGTGTTGCGATGTAAGTGTTGTCAAAATCCCAGCCACTAGTCCATTGGGATAAAAGGGCTTGTTTGTGTAGAGTGTCCGTGCGCCCATAACCCCCAAGGCGAACGCGCCTGTAACCCCCCTTAGGATCAATCGGGGATCCCCAGTGGAGGTCTACAGACACCCCCCCACACTGAGAGGCCCAGGACGGCACAAGGGCGAACGCGGCTGAATGTGCATATACGGGGATTCAAACCCGAGACCTTTTGGTCTAATACCATGTCAGAATCCCAGCCACTAGATCATTAGGATAAAAGGCCTTGTTTGTGTAACGGGTCCGTGCGCCTATAACCCCCCAGGCGAACGCGCCTGTAACCCCCCTTAGGATCAATCGGGGATCCCCAGTGCAGGTCTACTGACAAGTATGTCTGGGATGAAAGGGTACAGAAAAGAGGAATAGAAGAACCAAGGTTCATACTGGAATGGTAGTGCCAAGATGCAATAATGCATTGGTAAGTACCGCCACGGTGCATAATGCAATGGTGGCACCAATGTGACTACCAGTCTGCGGCGGGCTCGCGTATTGAGGTGTGCTCTGGGTGATTTCTACCCTAGCACTGTCAACTACGGTGGACAGGTGAGTTTGGTCTACCGTGGAACCAAGTACGTACCGTATCAACTTTTCTGCCCTCTCTTTTTGGGCCTCCCTCCCTTCCCCCCTCCTCTTCCCTCCACGCAGTGCGGATGCTCTAGTTGGAGCGTTTCATAAGAGAGGAAGAGAGGCAGAAGGTGCTGACGCTGAATTCACCAGCAAACAATAACTACAACAAATATTACATTCAGACAACACTAACTGAATCAACATACAAGGAGCAAGTCCAACATACCGTATGAGAAGTAAACCTAGCGGTGATTTGTTGGAAAAGCCGTTGATCCAACATTCCAGTGGATCATGCCAAAACCCGACACCAGCTGTACGGAAGCCAGAGAAATTTCTCTCTCTATATGTAGTGTACCATCGATGCTACAACATCCCCCCTCATCTCAATTCCATTTACTTTAACCGAAACATAAAAGGTGGAGGAGGCAGACGAATACACCCCAGCGCTTTCAAACGATGCGATCGGGTTGACAGGCACATTAGGCGAGGCAATCCCTGCATTGGGAACGACGGCGGTGCAGCTCCAGGTGCCCGTTGTTGTGTCAGCTCTGGGTGTGTAGGGAAGTGCCTTCATGAGGGCTCCTGTGCTGTTTTTGTAGAATCCGGGAGTGGTGACAGTTGGTGACTGGCCAACAGGTATGCCCTTAATGCGGAAGACATAGGTATACAATTGGGAGCTGGCCGTACTGCAAGAGGAGAGGGCGAAGAGGGGGATTGGAGAGAGGGAGGCAGAGACGGATTATGTCAGAGCGTTATGGAAAATGCGGTCCTTTGATGGTGATTGATGCTGCTACAAATACATCTTTCGCGACTTCTTGTGGGGGCCTATTCAACACGTTCACAATGATAATGCAATTAGTGGACAGCGTTATATAACGAAAGAAAAGTATCGGTTACACGTCAGCAATCAGGTTTCACGAGCCAATCAAGTCGCGAGCGCTCGAGGCAACTGTTGACGACGCTACGTCTGCGTGACAAATGGGAAGGATAACCACAACGTGAGTTCGGTGGACGGAAGGAGACTAGAGGGAGAAATAAGGGCAGGATGAGACTGTGCAGGGAGCATGGATTCGGTGCAGGGAGCATCGATTCGGTGCAGAATATTTAGTGAGGGGACCATGGGTGCTTCCAACTCGGTGTGAGTGCGACAAGGTGACATGAGGTAAGGCAGGGCGGCGTACAGCGCCTGTTGAGATTCGTACGATTGGCTATGAGCAGGTGGTGGCCGCTGGCGACGATGGCGCTGCATAAGAGCGAGAGCAGCACTGCATACGGAAGAACGACGCGACGGGAAGAGCACTTACCACTTCGAATTCCCAGAGCTAGACGTGGCACAGAAAAAGGATGAAGCAAGTTTCGAGAACTCTTGCGGATTTCAAGGAAAACCAGGTAGCGGGCGAGAAGAGTGAGCAAGCGAGTAGAGTATGTGCACTTCAATGCGTGGCAACTGTCTGACTCAGAGTGACACGCACTCAAAGCGATGATCTCCCTCACGTTATCGCCCTCACGTGATCTCGCCATTTCCCCCAGTCTGAAACCAGTGATGGCAAGGTACAGAAAGCGTTCATGTACCCATCGCTTATGTCACCTGTCACGTGCTCTTGAAGAACTGTGCCCACCTGGCCGACCTGTCATGCCCTCCCTTCCCAACCACTTATCTTCCTGACTACTTACTCTTAAAACACTCATCTATGCTGTCCTCTCCTAGCCTTTCCTCTTCTTCGATGAACAGTGGTGAGGGTATCAGGTGCTCACCAGCGGTGAGGGTATCAGGTACTCACCAGCGACGACGATCGCGGATTGGACGAACATGTGCGCCATGGCCCCAACTTGGACCCAAACTTGTTTGGTCCCGAACTTTCTTTGTGGTTGGCGGTGCGAGTCACGGCGCTGAATCATCTACAGGAATGGGCTCGAACGAAGGAAACGAATAAGAATATTAGCTGCTTTATACGCTGGTGCTCGCTAGCTAATGTAATCGGACAGCTGCTCCTCTGAGCTGGCTGCTCACGCCGATGGAACTACCACAAAAGAGGGGCACTACAAAGAAAAAACAAAAAGCATCGTCGTTGCTACTTCACGCGATTCGGCGAAGCACGGGTTACCATTCAGGAGGTACGAAGAAAGAGGAAGGAGGAAGGAGGAGCGCCATGTTGATTTGGATTTCGTAGCTCATTTCTATGGAGGCTTTCGGAATACGATCCGGCAGTGACTATGGGCTTAGGTGCCATGACATCCTTCCTGAGTGGTGTTCTGTTGCCCCTCAGCTTATACGCAGAGGACCGCACAGCATAGCACAATCAGAGGCGGCATAACTGATGCGGCAATAGAACAAGACATTGACTGGTCTCGAGGGGCTGGATCCGCTTGGTTCGGCTTGACATTGCATCCTGACGTGGCGATTAGGCCGCGTGTCTTTTGAAATTTATATGCAAAACTCGAGTTTTGAGTTGAATTGTATACATTTGAACCTAGGTCGACCTAGGTTCGACTATATCCGCATATGTAACCCGATTCGCTGCTCCTCAACTCACAAGAATCACTGGACACGTGAAAGTTCGACTATCGAAGCTGAACTTTTACAGCTTTCCCGAGTCGCGACCAACCTACGTATGTTACCCAGTTTGGCCTCTTGACAGTGCGCCACGCATGATTTGCGCGACACAGTTACACGAGGGCTACAAATAGCATTTGTGTCAAGCCTACAGCCCACATCTTTCTCGCACAATGACGAACCTTCAGCTCCTGCGATTCCTTGCCATCATCTGGCAGGGGTACCTACGACTCTTCCTCCTGCTAGTAACTGTTGCCATTGGCACAGCGCTGCCAAGCCTTGTCTCTGCCTTTTCGCTCAGTCAAACTCGAGTGTTCGTCAGGGGAGATTGTTTGGACACCCGAATGATTCGGTTCCGCATCATCAGCATACTTCCGGACGGTAGCTTCTACGAATACATGCGGGTGGATAAGCGAGTGTTTACCTATTTGGTGAGGCAGTATCAGCGAACCAGGTTCGCTACGTGGCAGAACCCGGCATACAACTTTGTGCACATTGCGATGGCACTTAGCAAGTTGGGGCATGGGTTGCCTTTCTATGAGATTGGCCTGCATTTTGGGTACAGTTATCCTTACACCCATAAATTAATTGGTCGTTTCCTTAATTTAATGGAACATGTTCTGACCCCGAATTGGGTATGGTGGCCAGACACCGAGATGTTCAGGATGTTTGAAGCAGATTTTAGAGAATTCACAGGCATTTCCGGCGTAGTAGGTGTTATCGATGGCACCTACATTTGATGCCCGTGGCTTTGGGCCACATTGTGAAGACTTTCGCAATCGAAAAGGATTTTACTCCATCATTTTGCAACTAATCTGCGACTGCGATGTC